GAAAATATAGTCTTTAAAAATTTAAGATCCATCCAATCTATCCTTTCAATTTTTTTTTTTTAAATCAATCCACATTGGATCTTCGAAAAATATTCTCCTTAAAATTCAGAGAATTTCAAATTTCATTGCATTTTTAAAAATATATGTATTATCCTAAGAACAGCCAAGCTTGCTTGTCCCTAAACATATATTTGTAAAGAATATCGTCTGTTGGCCTTTGAAAAAAATATTCTTTAAAGAACTTCCTCTCGTTGGTGCTTGATCAGCGATTTAAGACGATTTAGCCATGCCCGTGATTTCAGGCAAAAATTTCAATGGAATTGTCTTAAAATCGACACAGGTGATTCGTTCTGGGTACTTTATCACCTAGAAGAGAATTTTCTACATAGGTTCACGTTTTAGTATAGCCCCCATGTATGTATCGGTACCCCCAGATATTCGGTATTTTGCGATTTTTGTGAAATTGTTTCAAATTTCATATTTGAAGTTCGGAACAATTGCTTCAGCCTATGACAAAAATGATTTATGCAGGATCAGGTCTTCGTATAGCCCCCATATAACGGTTTTCATTTTGAGCGATATTTTTCGACGGAATTGTTTTGAATTTTTTTTTATGTTTCTTCCAAATGGTGGAGATATAAAAAGTTCGTTCTGGCCGAACTTAACTGCTTTTTATTTGTTAATATTTTTTTTTTTTTTTTTGGTTTTTGAAAAGATATTCCTTAAGTCTAGAGAATTTCCTCATTGACCCCTTTCAGAGGTCTTTGGAAATTTCAATAAAATCCGAATCCAAATGTATTTAATAGACTTATGGATATATGACGTATAACTACTGTCAATACGTATACGCCACCAACTTTGCACAGCCTTAATGAACTCAACTCAACGAGACGTCAGCTCATCTGCCGGATTTTTGCTACAAACTCCGCGAACGCCCACTTTCTTTGTATAGGCTTCCTCGACGTCTATTTTAATTTACCGAAATGCCTGATCCGCTAGATTCTTTACACGGACAATCTACCCAACCAGTCTTATTGTACAGAGTCCGCGGTCGCCAGCCTCTCCGTATGGAATGTCTAGCCCATTATTTTCTCGGTATGAATTCCCTGACCGTCCAGCTTTTCGGTACGAAATCCTTGTCTGCCTTGCTTTTCAGCAAGACATGTTATGTCGACTTGTTGCTCGGTACGGAATCCCCTGCTTATCGGTACGGAATCTGTGGCCGCCTAGCTTTTCGGTAAGGCATGCCTGGACGACTAGATTCTCGGTACAGAGTCTTTGGCCACCCAGCTTCTCGCTAAGGAGTCCTAGGCCAGCCAGCTTTTCGGTAAGGCATGTCCGAACGACTAGATTCTCGATAAGCCATATTTGGTCGACTAGTATCTCGGTACAGAATCTCTGGCCGCAGCCAAGCTTGCTGATTTTTATACCCTACACCACATAGCGGTAAGGGTATTATGTCTTTGTGCATTTGTTTGTAACATGGAGAAGGAAGCGAGATAGACCCATAGTTATTTTTGAGGATCTCCATAGAATCACTTTCTGAGTTGATTTATGCATGTCAGTCCGTCCGTCCACGTATTCTTGTGAACAAAATGCAGGTCGCATTTATTATCCGATTGAGATGAAATTTTCCAAACAACATTTGTTTGGCCCAAGGACGAACCCCATTGAAATTGGAGATAATCGGTCAAAATTTAGATATAGCTCCCATATATATCTTCGTCCGATTTGCCTTTTATTGTGCACCAAACGTGGAATATCAGCCCGAATAGTATGGAATTTTGCACGTACGATCAAATTGGACCTCAAAATAAATATGCCAAATTTGATCGAAATCGGTTCAGATATAGCTATAGCTCCCATATATATTGTTCTTCCGATTTGTTATTTTGGTCCTCTGCAGCCGTAATATGCACTCTGTAACAACAGTATTTGGGGAAATATATCAAATACAGCTCAGAAATACATTTGTTAAATTTTACCGAGATCGGTTCCGATTTGGATATAGCTCCCATACATAACTTCGTCCGATTTACCTTTGATTGTACACCAAACGTCTAATATTTGCCCACTTACGACCGAATTGAGTTTAGAAGCTAGTATGTCAAATTTGGTGAAGATCGGTTCAGATATAGCTATAGCTCCCATATATATTGTTCATCCGATTTGTTGTATTTGTTACCTACAGCCGTAATATGCACGCCGTAACAACGATATTCAGGGAAATATATCAAATACAGCTCAGAAATATCTATGCCAAATTTTATCGAGATCGGTTCCGATTTGGATATAGTTCCCATATATATTTTTATCCGATTTCAAATTAATTGTGCACCAAATGGGCAATACAGGACCGAATTTAAAAGATTCAAATACTTCGGCATATTTTGTCCTTTGAACTTTGAATTATAATTATAATCATGGCGTGTATGATTGAATTCTCCCATTAAAATGTTTAATTGTTATGCAGGGCTCTACTAAATTAGCAAAGTGGTGTAGGGTATCATAAAGTCGGCCCCGCCCGACTTTAGGACTTTCTTTACTTTCTTTCTTTTTAAAATATAATTTTTATAAAATCCACGTTATTTTTAAAATATAGTTTTTATAAAATCCACGTTATTTTTAAAATATAATTTTTATAAAATCCACGTTATTTTTAAAATATAATTTTTATAAAATCCACGTAGTTTTTAAAATATAATTTTTATAAAATCCACATTATTTTTAAAATATAATTTTTATAAAATCCACGTTATTTTTAAAATATAATTTTTATAAAATCCACGTAGTTTTTAAAATATAATTTTTATAAAATCCACGTTATTTTTAAAATATAATTTTTATAAAATCCACGTTATTTTTAAAATATAATTTTTATAAAATCCACGTTATTTTTAAAATATAATTTTTATAAAATCCACGTAGTTTTTAAAATATAATTTTTATAAAATCCACGTTATTTTTAAAATATAATTTTTATAAAATCCACGTTATTTTTAAAATATAATTTTTATAAAATCCACGTAGTTTTTAAAATATAATTTTTATAAAATCCACGTTATTTTTAAAATATAATTTTTATAAAATCCACGTTATTTTTAAAATATAATTTTTATAAAATCCACGTTATTTTTAAAATATAATTTTTATAAAATCCACGTTATTTTTAAAATATAATTTTTATAAAATCCACGTTATTTTTAAAATATAATTTTTATAAAATCCACGTTATTTTTAAAATATAATTTTTATAAAATCCATGTTATTTTTAAAATATAATTTTTATAAAATCCACGTTATTTTTAAAATCCACGTTATTTTTAAAATATAATTTTTATAAAATCCACGTTATTTTTAAAATATAATTTTTTATAAAATCCACGTTATTTTTAAAATATAATTTTTATAAAATCCACGTTATTTTTAAAATATAATTTTTATAAAATCCACGTTATTTTTAAAATATAATTTATATAAAATCCACGTTATTTTTTAAAATATTATTTTTTTAAAATCCACGTTATTTAAAAAAAAAATAATAAAATGCACATTATTTTTTAAAATATAATTTTTATAAAATCTACGTGGCTTAAAAATTTAATTTTTACAAAATCCACGTAGTTTTTAAAATATAATTTTTATAAAATCCACGTTATTTTATTGAATGTTTTTTAAAAAATCCACGTTATTTTATTAAATATTTTTTTTATAAAATCCCCTTTTTTTAGATATATTTTTTATAAGATCCACGTTATTTTTTTAGATATATTTTTTTTATAAAATCCACGTTTAAAAAAAAAAAAAAACATTTTTAATAATAAAATCCCCGTTATTTTTAAAAAATATTTATTTTTTTATAAAATCCATGTTATTTTTTAAAATATTTTTTTCTATAAACCTTTTTATTAAATATTTTTTTTTTTTATAAAATCCCCATAATTTTTTATAATATTTTTTTTATAAAATCCACTTTGGTCTTTAAAATATTTTTTGAAATCCACGGTGCCCCTTAAAATATTATTTCCAAAACAATTCGTTTGTTCTCAGAAAAATTTAAATAAAATCTACACTTACCCATTCAGAAAATCCTTTAAAGTCAACATTGGTTTCAAAAAAAAAAAAACGAAATAATTAAAAAATAAATAATACATTAGTCCTGAAAGAAATTGTTTTTTAAGCATTTTTTGTGGTCCTTAAAAAAATATATATTTTTTTAAGAAATCCAGGATGGTTGTTCCTTTGAAAATAAAAATATTCTTTGAAAAAATACGTTTTTGGCTTTTGATTGGTAAAATACATACCTAAAATATCTGCATTTGTTTGCCCAAAATATACTTGATATTCTTAACAAAGAGACTACGACATAGGTGACGTATAAGTATTATCAATACTTATACGCCACCATGACGAAGAAAATAATACATCGTTTTTTGCCTACTTACCTTAAATTAAGTCCCTTATCCAAAAAATAAAAAAGTCACCTGTTCTTATTTTGTTTCGTTTTTTTAACAATTTCTTTAATTAATTTATTTAAAAATAAAAATTACAATTAATTACAATTTTACATAGATAAGAAGTTTTGGTTTTTTCTGTTTATAATTTACACATTTTATGGAATTGGAATTCCATGGATCGGGGATAGTTAGTGTTTTGAAGTTTGACATTCTTTTAAGTTTTAGTTTTTTTATTATTATTTATTTTAATTTTATTTTCTTTTAATTTAATTTAATTAGTTTATATTATTCATTATTTGATTTGTTAATAATATCTGCCTATTCTTTCAAAGGTTTAGTTTATAATCTTAACAGTTTCGTAGTTTATTACTTAAATTTGTAGTTGTGGTTTATCGGTTTAGTTTTACTGTATATTAAATGCGGTTTAAATAAATTTTTGGTTTTTAGTTTTTAATCTTTTTATTGTATTTTTTTTTTTTTTTTTGTTTGTTTAATGTCAGTTATTAGTTTTTTATTTAATTTTCTTTGTTTATTATTTTGTTTTTTTTTTTTTTTTTTAATTTTTTTGTCTTTGCAAAAGGCAGTTAATTGAGTACTTCTTTCTGTCCTCTGTCTGTCGGTCTAATCTGTCATTTTCCATTAACATTTTCTTTAGCTAAAATCGTTATGTTTAGTCATATTAACTATTTCTATGGTAGTTTCCGTATCATCCTTTTTCATTTCAACAAAAAAGGACTCCTCTTTGCTCTCCATATTTTCTGTTGCAATTTTGTCGACCTGTCTAGTTTCTATTCTTCTTAACATGAGGTTCACTTTCAAATTGAGTTTCCTTTTTTTATATTTTTTGTTTTAAAAAAGTTGTTTTCTTTTTTTTTTTGTTTTTTTTTTTTTTTTTTAATGGAATTTAAATATTTTCTTTTTTCTTATTTTTCATCTGAGGTTCATTGTCTTGTCCATTTAATTTTTATTTATTTATTATTTTTTTGCGTTTAATTTTAACTTTAATTTTAAATTATTGTTGCCTTAGTTGCTCGTTTCTGTGACATTTACCGTCAGAATCGTGTTCCATTGTTGCGATCCTGTGTCATTAAAATGCTCTCACCATTCAGCTGATGGTGTACGATTTCTTCCGGTACGGTTTTGAGGAGGCCAGAGGCGGCAGCCTGAAAAAAAGTGGAAAAAGAAAAGCAATTAATAAATCAATTCGATGTAAAAGTCGAGCCTGTGGGGCGTATGACTAACGACAGTAGTTATACGCACCCATGGACATCAAATATATTTTTGTCATAATTCGATATCGGGTCTATTTGTCGCCCGAGAAGTCTAACGGTTGCGTCTGATCCTCCGCAGAGACTAGCCGGCCTTCACTTCTGGACTTCTGGTCTGTCAATTCCTCCGCACACACTCTCTTGTTCGTCCATTCTTCCGGGTTGTTTCCCTGACCCGTCAGTTCATCGGTACGCCCTCATCAGGCCGCCAGCTCATTTGTATAGACTCAACAGACCCCTGACTCAAAGGTACGTAGTTATCAGGCTATAAGATCTTCAGCTCTTACTTAGTGGGCGACCAACTTAAATACAAAGACTCCTTGGCCGGCCAGCTCTTTTAAACAGACTCAACGAGTCTACAGCTCATCTGCGATGCCTTCATGGGTCACCAGATCATCTATAGAGACTCAACGGGCCGTCCGCTCATCTGCACACATTTAACAGGCCGCCAGGTTTTCAGTACAGACTCAACGGGACGTCTACTTTTCGGTTGAGACTCAAGAGGCCGCGAGCATGTTTGTACAGGATCTCTGGCCAGCGAGATTTTCCCTACAAAATCCCTAGTGGTCCAGCTTCTCGGTACAAACTCACACGACGGCCAGCTTGTAGGTACGAACTCTTTGGGCGCCCAACTTGTCGGAAAAAAAGATTCTTGCATGGCCAGCTCAACAGTACGGTCTCCATAGACTTCCAGTTTCTTCGTATGGACTTCCTCGCCGTCTATATTATTTTCACGGAATGCCTGACCTGCTTGCTCATCTGCGCGGATACTCTGACCAGCCAACTTTTCGATACGAAGTTCCCGGTAGGCCAGCTTTTCGGTAAAGTATATCCGACCCGTTATTTTCTCGGTGCGGAATCCCTGGCCGGCTAAAATCTTCCTACGGAATACTTGGCGGGCCAGCTTTTTGGTAGGGCGTGCCTGGCCGACTAGCTTTTCGGTATGGAATTCTTGGCAGGCCAGCTTTTTGGTAAGGCATGTCTGGGCGACCAGGTTCTCGGTACGAAAGTCCTTGGCCAGCCAGCTCCTCGGGATGGAATTCCTGGCTGCCTAGCTCTTCGGTAAGACATACATGCCCACCTAGCTTTTCGGTACAGATTGACTTGCTGACTAGTTTCTCTGTAGAAAATCACTGACGGCCTAGCTTTTCGGTAAGGCATACCTGGCCGTCTAGATTTTCGGAAAGCCATGCCTGTCCGACTAGATTCTCTGTAGAGAATCCGTGTAGGCCTAGATTTTCGGTAAGGCATGGCTGGCAGTCTAGATTTTCGGAAAGCCATGCCTGCCCGACTAGTTTCTCGGTACAGAATTTCTGGCGGCCTAACTCTTTGGTAAGACATGCCTGGCCGTCTAGCTTTTCGGTTAGACATGCCTGGCCGACTAGATTCTCTGAAGAGAATCCATGTAGGCCTAGATTTTCGTTAAGGCATGCCTGGCCGTCTAGATTTTCGGAAAGCCATGCCTGGTCGACTAGATTCTCGGTAGAGAATCCGTGTAGGCCTAGCTTTTCGGTAAGGCATGCCTGACCGTCTAGATTTTCGGAAAGGCATGCCTGGCCGACTAGTTTCTCGCTACGGAATTTCTGGTGGTCTAACTCTTCGGTAAGGCATGCCTGGGCGACTAGATTCTTGCTACAGAATCACTGGCTTGCCAACTTTTCCGTCCTAGCTCTTCTATACAGCATGCCTCGCCGACTACTTTCTAGATACGGAATCACTGGCCGGCCAGCTTCTTGGCACAGAATTTCTGGCTGACTAGCCCTTCGATGTGGCATACATGGTCGACTAGCATCTCGGTATAGAATCCCTGGCCGTTTAGCTTTTCGGTAAGGCATGCTTGGCGAACTAGTTTTTCGGTAGGATATTCCCGGACGACTAGATTATCGGTACAGAGTCTTTGGCCAACCAACTTCTCGCTAAAGAGTAATTGGCCAGCCAGCTTTTCGGTAAGGCATGCATAGCCGACTACTTTTTTCTTAACGTATTCCTGAACGACTAGTTTTTAGGTACGGAATAACTGGCCGACCAGCTTTTCGCTTCAAAGTCCTTGGCGAGCCAGCTTTTCGGTAAGGCATGTCTGGCCGTCTATTTTCTTGGTGCGGAATTCCTGGCCGCATAGCCTTTCGGTAAGGCATATCTGACCGACTAGTTTCTCGGTACGAAGTCCATGGCCCATTCTATGTCCTTCTTGGTCGGCCAGATTTTCTCCACAGATTACGCGGCATCATCCTTTGTTTGCGGACTTCCTCTTCGGTAAGGGATTCTAGGTCGGCTAGCTTTTATGTGCGGACTCCTATGCCACCCAGCATTTCGGTACAGAATCCCAGTCGGACTATCTTCTTTGTAGCGACTTTCTGCCACCCACGTTCTCTGTGTGGATTTTCTGGCCGGCCAGCTTCTCTGCATCCCAACTGGCCAGAATCATTGTGGGGACTTCAAAGCCGGCCAGGGTTTTTGTACGGAGTTCCTGGCTGATCAGCTTCTTTGTACGAACTTTTTAGTCAGCCGGTTAATCTGTATGGAGGTAGGTCAGATTCGCTGTATAGAATCTCTCGCCTACTAGGTTCTCGTTAAGGGTTTTCAGGCCAGCAAGCTTCTCCTTTCGGACTCTACGGCAGCCCAGCTGGTCGGTAGAGACTCCCTGTTGTCCCTCTTCCTTATATGGTCTCCATGATCATCCAGTTTCTATTTACGGAGTCCATAGTCTGTCAGACCAGCAAGCTTCTCCTTTCGGACTCTACGGCAGCCCAGCTGGTCGGTACAGACTACCTGGTCGCCCTCATCTTTATGTGGTCTCCATGATCGTCCAGTTTCTGTTTACGGAGTCCCTAGTATGTCAGATTGTTGGAACAGTCTCTTAACACCTATTCTATACTTATTCTAATTTTATACATTTTTATGCGACCACCCTAATGTATATACCCCCAATAAATGATGCATTGTTTTCAATATCCGTTGTGCTGTCTAAATGGAAAATAAAAATTTATTCATATTTACCGCTTCGTTGGTGTAGACACCTGAGGATCCCATACTGCCAACACTCACTATACTGCCATTGCCCTGTAAATGTAAGAGACTGCCAACTTGACCCGACACCGAGGACGATGACGCCGACGATGAGGAGGAGGTGGCCACCGGTGATGCCACACCGGCTGTTGCTTTAGCCGATGCTGCCGCCGATGATGACGATTGGGCCAATGGCGATTGTGGCCTTTTTTGGGACGCACAAATGATGGATTGTTGTTGGCTGCTGTGATGAGAGACGGCTGGCATAGGGGGCTGTTGTTGGGCCATGTGCATGGATAGAATGCCACTGGTCTGTAGGAGACCCGCTGCCGCCACAGCTGCTGCATGCTGTTGCTGCTGCTGCTGATGATGGGTGGAAAGGGTGCTGTGCAGTGATTGTGTGTGCGCCGAGGAGGGTGGTGCTGAAACTATTTTATGGGCATACAAAGAGTGTGGGGTGGTGAAGGTGGCCAATTGTGATGGATGTGACATGGTGACACCGGTAATGGTGTTTGTGGCAAACATGGGACTCGTCGAGTACATGGGATGATGGGCTAGATCGATCTGAAAAATGGAAAAGAATATGTACACACAGACACAACGACACCGGTTATAATTACATTTATAGATATATATACAGATAGATAGAGAGAGAGAGAGAGAAAATGAATATGAATGAGAATAAATGATTGGTGGGTCGAAGAGATAAATATTCCAAAACGAATAGTCATGGGTGGTAGTAATGAAAATTTTATTTCTCTGAAGACAAATAAATAAATTTATGAAGACAAAATTGCATTTATTTTTTAAAAATTACAAAATTTGTATTAACTTCCTGGAAACAACTATTTAACATTTTTTTTTAAACAAGACAAAATTATTAAAAATATTTATTTATTTATTTATTTATTTTTTTTTGTATAGTTATTGTTGACCTTTGATCAATATATTTTCTTCTGGTTTTTCGTTTGGCTTGAGGTCAGAATTTAAAAAAAAAAAACAGACGAATTTGTTTTTTTATATATTAATTTATTTTTCCGATATTTCGACTATCTTCGATAGTCATCATCAGGGATTTGACTTGGATTTTAACTCTTCTGTTTTTAAGTTCTCTAATGCAGCTTTTCCATCCTTTCCTTTTTACTCGAATTTTCCAAAATTTAAATTCAAATTAAATTAAAATTTTTAAATTCTGACCTCAAGCCAAACGAAAAACCAGAAGAAAATTGTCTCAGAAAATTTTTCCAAATTTTTATTTATTTATTTTTAAAAATTATTATTTTTTTTACAAAATAAATTCATAATCCACTACAAAAAAAAAAAAAAAAAAAAAAAAAAACAAAAAAAATCAAATAAAAATTCCAATTTTGTTCCACCACAAAAAAGTTTATACCCTCCACCATGGTATATATTCTTGAGCAGCATAAAATTCTATGGATTTAGCAATGTCCGTCCGTCTATCCCTCTGTGGAAATCTCTCTAGCTTCCGAACGAAATGAAGTAGGTTGATAAAATGTTACTCAAATGTGTATTATGTCTGCAGTACTTTTGGTATTAAAAATGGGCCAAGTCGGTCCACGTTTTCGTATAGCTCCCATATAAGGGTATCCCCGATATTCGGTATTTTGATTATTTTAGCGATATTATTTACCGGAAATTTTCCAAATATCGCATTTGAAGTTCGTAATGGATACTACAGCCTACGGCAGAAAATTGTCTTTACAGGTCTACGTCTTCGTATAGCCCTTATATAACGGTACCCCCCGATATTCGGTATTTTTATGATTTTGGCGGCATTATTTACCGGAATTGTTTCAAAATTGGTATTTAAAGTTCGTAATACATACTACATCCTAAGACAGAAAATGAGCCATGTAGGTCCACATCTTCGTATAGCCCCCATATAACGGTACCCCCCGATATTCGGTATTTTTATGATTTTGGCGGAATTATTTACCGGAATTGTTTCAAAATTGGTACTTGAGGTTCGCTATGAATACTACAGCCTAAGACAGAAAATTGTCTGTGCAGGTCCACGTTTTCGTATAGCCCCCATATAACGGTACGCCCGATATTCGGTATTTTCATGATTTTAGCGATATTATTTACCGGAATTGTTTCAAAATTGGTATTTAAAGTTCGTAATAGATACTACGGCTTGAGACAGAAAATGAGCCATGTAGGTCCACGTCTTCGTATAGCCCCCATTTAGCAGTACCTCCCGATATTGGGTATTTTGATGATTTTAGCGATATTATTTACCGGAATTATTCCAAATTTAGTATTTGAAGATCGTAATGAATACTACAGTCTATGACAGAAAATTGTCTGCGCAGGTCCACGTTTTCGTATAGCCCCCATATAGCAGTACCTCCCGATATTCGGTATTTTTATGATTTTAGCGACATTATTTACCGGAATTGTTTCAAAATTGGTACTTAAAGTTCGTAATAGATACTACGGCTTGAGACAGAAAATGAGTCATGGACGTCCACGTTTTCGTATAGCCCCCATATAACGGTACCTCCCGATATTCGGTATTTTGATAATTTTAGCGACATTATTTTCCGGAATTGCTTTAAATTTGGTATTTGAAGTTGGTAATAGATACTATGGCTTGGGACAGAAAATGAGCCATGTAGGTCCACGTTTTCGTATAGCCCCCATATAACGGTACCCCCCCCCCCATATTCCGTATTTTTATGATTTTGGCGGCATTATTTAGCGGAATTGTTTCAAAATTGGTATTTGAAGTTCGTAATAGATACTACGGCTTGAGACAGAAAATGAGTCATGTAGGTCCACATCTTCGTATAGCCCCCATATAAGGGTACCCCCGATATTCGGTATTTTGATGATTTTAGCGACATTATTTACCGGAACTATTTCATATTTAGTATTTGAAGTTCGTCATGGATACTACATCCTAAGACTGAAAATGAGCCATGTAGGTCCACGTCTTCGTATAGCCCCCATATAGCAGTGCCTCCCGATATTCGGATTTTTTTTTTTGATTTTAGCGACATTATTTACCGGAATTTTTTCAAATTTAGTATTTGAAGTTCGTAATGAATACTACAGCCTATGACAAAAAATTGTCTCTGCAGGTCCACGTCTTCGTATAGCTCCCATATAACGGTACCTCCCGATATTCGGTATTTTAATGATTTTAGCAACATTCTTTACCGGAATTGTTTCAAAATTGGTACTTGAGGTTCGCAATGAATACTACAGCCTAAGACAGAAAATTGTCTGTGCCGGTCCACGTCTTCGTATAGCCCTCATATATCGGAACACCCGATATTCGGTATTTTGATGATATTAGAGACATTATTTACCGGATTTGCTCCAAATTTCTCATTTGAAGTTCGTAACGGATGCTACAGCCTATGCCAGAAAATTATCTGTACATGTCCACGTTTTAATATAACCCCATGATACCTCCCAAATTTTTATCAAATGGTGGAGGGTATTCAAAGTTCGGCCCGGTCAAACTTCCAGCTTTTTTACTTGTTTTTATTATGTTCATATTTTGGCATCAACATTTCTCTGGCCATCGATTGACTGATTGATTGATGAGAATACAATAAAAATATTTGAGAATTTTTTTCACTCTATTTTTTTTTTTTTTTTTTTTTTTTTTTGAAAAATTTCATTTGGAACCATTTTGCTAACAACAATTTATGAATTGATAATTGCAAACATATGTACGTAGATATATGAATATACAAAATATATTTTATTGAATTTTAATGGAATTTCTGTTTTATATTTTTTTACATATGTGTGAGTGTTCGTGTAGAAGTGTTGATGTAAAAAAAATATGTGTTCATTCAGAAAGGGAATTCAATTAGAGGCAACTACTGCTGGTCTGTCGTCAGTAGATATGAGAGTTACACAAAAAACGAGAATTATGATCTAAAATAAAACTGAAAATTGCATGAAATTGAATGATGGCAAATTCCAATAAAGGTTCTAGTATTGGATTCTAATGGAGAAAGAAAGCGAATGAAATATTTTAACGAAAAAATATGGGTGGCGGGGAAAACTTTTAAATTCAAAATTCCAACAAAAAATCAGTAGTAAAAACTGTTAAAAATATATTTTTTTAAATTATTGATTTTTGGAAAGGGGCCCAGGTATTATAAAATTCTGAAGAATTTTTAATTATTAATAATTTTTTACGATTTTTAAAAACCAAAAACCCATACTGAAATTAAAAATTTCATTTTTTTTTCTATTTTTTTTTATTCAATATTTTATTGAAAACAAGCAACCAACATCATAATGTAACAACAATTAAGCTTCTATATTTAGAAATGCATTAAAAAAGGGGAAATTTTGTATAAACCAAAAAAAAAAAAAAAATAGTGCATAAAAAATAAATAAAATTTTTCCATACATACTCGTAGGATGTTTGAAATTAAATTTAATTAAGCTATTGTTTTCCCCCATTTGAACACATATTTTTTATATATTAAGTTAGTAAATAAATTTATAACAACTATTGTGTTAAATTCTATTATTAAAACTGAATATTAAAAATAGACAAAGATTTTGTGAAAAAAAATAAAAACCTAACTATTTCCTTGTGATTTTTTTAATTATATACCAAAACAGTTCTCTTCTTAGAATTATTGTATTAAATCAATTTTTTTTAATCATTTAAAAATTGTAATTAATAAATAATCAATTTTTGTTTAATAATTAATTTAATAAACAAACGAAAAATATTCTTGCCATATTTTTTTTATTCATATTTAAAATGTAATTATTTTGAAATTCTACGACAAAAAAAATTGGTTTCTCAATAATGATTTTTCTTTAAACAAATTTATTTTTAATGAAATTTGAATAATAGAAAAATTTAATTTTTATTATTTACTTTTTTATATATTAAAACTTTTGAAATACTTTTTAAAAAACAAAAAATCATGTATATAATTAAATTAAATTATTTCCAGTTAAATTAAATTTTAAATTTAAATTTTTCGATTTAAAGTAAATTAGAAATTATTATATTAAAGGATTTTAAATTGTTATTTAATTTAAAATAAATTATAAATTATTATATTAAAGGATTTTTAATTGTTATATAAAATATTCGAATGCACTTTATTTATTTTTTAAGGTGTTAAAAAATTAAAGTCGAAAAATTTCAAAAAAAATATATATATCATTGTTTCACTTAAATAAATTTTAAAAATTAAATTTGTAATCAAAATTTCATTTTTAATTAATTGACGTTAATTAAATTTAGGTAGATTCACAATTTCTTAGTACACATTTGTTCATAACAGAATTATATATTTTTTTAATATAAATATTTTCTCTGGTTTTTCGACCTTTTGGATAGTTAATAAAAACAATTATTTGAGCTTGAGGTCAAGCTCAAATAATTGTTTTTATTTTTTTAATATATAACGATATTCGACGCAATTCAATTATTTTTAATGTGTTCAAAAAAAATCGTAAAAGTAAAAAAAATTAAAAATGTACTATTTAAAATAATCAAATGCAATTAAAGTACTTCTAATGTGTCTCAAAATATTATAAATTTAGAACGTTTATAAAAAATTATTTATTAATTAGTGTTTGATTTAAATTATTAAATTTATAATCGAATTAAGAAATTGCTTTTTTATTAAAAAAAATATTTTCAATAATTTTTAGTTATTTAATTTTGTGAAGATACACAATATTTTTAAGTTATATATATACTTTAAATAACAAAAAAACGGATTCAATTGAAAGATAACATTTAATTTTTAAAATAATTATTCATCTTCTTCTGTCTATTAACTTTATTTAATTTTTTAGTTGTTCACTAGTTCATGACATTTTTATTAAATTAAAAAAAAAATACAACAATTAAATATATAAAATAAAAATCTGTTTTATTTTGAGCGCTTTTTTAAAAAAATCTGAATAATTTGCAATAATTATAATTAATAATTATAAAATTATAAAAAATAATTATTTGATATTACTTAAATAAAAAAGTTATTCCTTTTTTATTTTCAGCGCTATTTTCAATTAAAAAAATATAAAAATCGAAAAAATCTGAATAATTTGCACCACTTTCTCCTTTGGAAAATTTTATGTTTTTTTTTTTTTTTGTTATTTAGAAAAAAAAATAATAATTTTCGGTGTGTCCAATAGTTTCATTCCCAATTTCAATTAGAAACCAAATTGAAAAAATTTGATTAAAAACAATCAGGTTATGAGGCAAATATAAAATATTATTGCCTTTGTTATAAAAGGCAATAAATTATAAAATTATTGCTTTTGTTAATTTTTGAAACTAAAAGAAATAAATTTCAAATTTAATTTATCTTATAACATTTTTTGGTTATTTCATAAATATTTATTATTATTATTATTATTATTATTATTATTATTATTATTATTATTATTATTATTATTATTATTATTATTATTATTATTATTATTATTATTATATTATTATTATTATTATTATTATTATTATTATTATTATTATTATTATTATTATTATTGTTTTTTTTTTTCAATAAAACCAAATATTCAATTGCTTTCTTATTTAGGTTTAGTTTTTTTGGAAAAAAATATTTTCTTAAAAAAAAAAAAATAAATAAATTAAAAATATAACTATTTTACTTATATGCAATGTTATTATTATATTTAAATAATTTTAGTGCATTCGAATATCTTTTATTACAAAAAAAATAAATAAATAAATTATCCGAATGAGCGAAATAAAAAAATAACAAAAATGTAAGTATTTTTTGTTAGGCATTATTAATATGTTGTGCTATTTATTTTTTTTTTAAATCAATCTAGCTCAAAATAATTTTTCCTTGAAAAATAATTATTTTAATTTTTTTATATCTTATTAAAAATTTCGTTTTTCTTGAGCATATTTTATTAATTTAACAAAACGAAATATTTAATTGCTTTCAATTTTAGTGTTTGTTTTTCTAGAAGAAAAAATAATGATATAAATTTGTTAAGAAAAAAATTTAATTAAAAATTTAGCTGTTTTTTTTTTTTAATTTTCAATATTATTAATTCATTTTTTTAATAATTTTAGTGCATTGGAATATCTCAAATAAAAAATCAAAAAAAAAAAAAAAAAAAAAAAAAGAATGCCGAATAAGCGACTTAATTTTTCTAGAGCATAATTTAATTAAATTAATAAAACTAAATATTTTATTGCTTTCCATTTTTTGCAACAAAAATATAAATTTATTTAAAAACCTAATATTAAAAAGTAACTCTTTTTTAATTTGCAATATTTTTAATTTTTTTTTGTTTTTAAATAATTTTAGTGCATTGGAATATTTAAAAAAAAATTAACCGAATAAGAATTAAAAATAATTAACAAAATTAATTTAATAATTTTTTTTTTTTTGGGTTATAAAAATATTTCTGCTATATAATATTATTTATTTTAATTTTCCAAAATCAATATACAGCTAAAACATGTTTTCATTTAAAAATAAATTCATTTGAATTTATTTGAAAAACTAAAATTAAAAAAAAAACACCTTTTAATTTAACTTTTTTTTAATAATAATTTATTTTACTAATTTTGTCCTAAAAAGCGTCTTAAAAATAATTAACAAAATTAATTTAATAAAATATTTTCGTTTAAAAATTAAGAAAAATTATTGTTTAATAAATAAAAAATTAAGAAAATTTGGTTTAGCATTTTTATTTTGTATAGCTAAAAATACTTAAAAATTAAAATAATAAATTTATTGAAAAAGAAATTCATATTTATAAGCCATTATTTTTTAGTTAAAAATAGAAATGTATGTTTAAATAAAATAAATTTCGTGTTTAAATAAAATAAATTTTAAAATTAGTATTGAAACTTAAATTAAAATAACAAATATTTTACTTGCTGGTAAATAATACTATTGTATTTAAAATTAAAAATTTTTGTATATAAAATAATAAATTATTATTTGTAAATGTTTCGTGTTTCATTCGAATTTTTATAAATTACAGACAAAACAAGAATTAAGAAAAAAATTAAAATAATTCATTAAAATATTTTTTAACCAAAAAATAATTCTCTTCTAATTATTTTCTATATAATCCATTATTTTTTAGTTAAAAATAGAAATGTATGTAACTCCGTACAATTTCGAGTTTAAATAAAATAAATACAATTTTTTTTTAATTTGTATTGAAAATTAAATTAGAACTAAAATCATATTTTTAGCTGGTAAATAATACTTTTGTATTTAAAATTAAAAATTATTATTTTATAATTTGTTATTAATAACTTTTTTAATAAATATTTTAAATTATAGACAAAAATCATTTTCATAATAAATTAAATTAAAAAAAAAAAATATTATTAATAACTTAAAATATTTTTTAACAAAAAATAATGTTTATCTAATAATTTCCTAGTTGTAATATTTATTAACTTTATTTTGGCACTTTTGTTTTAGCTTCGTGATAATTGTTTTTGTTGTTATTTTTTTTTTAAATAAACAATTTATACTTTGGTTGAGTAGCCTGTTATAAAACACGTTTTTTCATTACTACCTTTGGAACTATCGCTTTTCGAATCACTACTGTCAATCATTTTCGTTACCTGTGAATAGATGTTGGGTTCGGCTCGTTTCAATTCCGTTTGTCGTGGTCGGCCCAAAGTGGCACTGCAATAGGGCGCCATGCGGGGCTGGCCGCCCAGGCCGGTCATATCGGCATGGGATAAATCGTTCTGGAAGGGAATTAAAAAAAAAATATATTTTTAATTTTATTTTGAACCACCCTAATATACAAATAATAAAGTTATTTGTTACTCTTATCTCGCTAGTGCTACAAAAAAAATATTTGTGGTAGTTTTTAAATAAATTAAAATAAAAACACACACAACAACAACCCATATTTAAATGTTATTGTAAAACATATAACTGGTTTATGTATGTGTATGTATTTAGGTATGCATGCATATGGACACCATAAAATGCTGTCCAACTAACCAAACCTAAATGACCGGTTAGAGGCCATGTTGGAGGAGGTAAATGTTACACATGCTCACCTAGGACTTTTTTTTTTTTTTTGGTCGTAACAACAACACAATTTTATTTATGAAGGTATTCATTCAAATTGCCACAAACGGTCATTATAAACAATCTCGGTTAACACATTCTAACCGAAAACAACAGTGACCCTCACACACATATGACAGAGAGCGAGAGAGGGAGAGAGAGATGGGGAGAAAACAGGGTCGTGGAAAAGACACGAAAGGGGAGTAGGCTGCAAAACAGAGTTTTTGGAAATTTTGCAGGAAAATATCGCCAACAACGTGGTTTTTTAAGTAAATTTTAAGCCTTCTTCGGAAATAAAATTTAAACTTCTCAGGCCTATTTATTGGGTACAAAACTTGGATCTTTTATAGACTTTAATGCCTTTTTTCTCCCCTGAAAAAGAGGATTCACAATCCAACTAATTTTTGAATTCTTTTCCCCGTGTAAACAACGTGTACATTATCAAGTCATTAGCAAGTCTTTCAATTCATTTTCAAGACTTTTTGCTGTGCTAAGAACATGGATCTGATTCAATTGATATTTAAGCCATTTCCCATTGTGTGCAATATTGATATTTTCAAGACATTATCAATTCCTTTTTGAAGCCTTTTTTACTGTTCAAACAACGAGGATTTTGTGAAGATATTTTCAATTCATTTTCAAGCCTTTTTCATGTGCTACACAACATGGATCTGATTTAGTTTATATTAAGCCTTTTTTTAAGACATTATCAATTCATTTTAATGCCTTTTTAGACAATTCCAATTCATTTTCATGCCTTTTTCAATGAGAATTTCAATTTATTTGCATATGTTAAGAATGAGGATTTTTCAGGACAATTACAGTTCATTTTCAAGCCTTCTTCCTATGCCAAGAACGAGGATTTGCCTATCGCTGTGCTAAGAAAGAAGATTGTTTTAAGATAATCTCAAATCATTTTTAAATCCTTTCTAATGGATCTAATTCTATTTCTTTTCAAGACTTTTCCATTTGTGTAGAATGTTGATGTTCTAGAGGCATTATCAATTCATTTTCAAGACTTTTTGACTATTCCAACGACGAGGATTTTTCAAAAACAATTTCAACTCATTTTCAAGCCTTTTTGATACTTTCATTTTTTTTTCAAGCCTTTTTTCTTGAGCTAACAACGTGGATCTGATCCAATTCATTTTCAAGCCTTTTTTGTTTGTGAACAATGTTGATAATTTAAAGGCATTTTCAATTTATTTTCAAGCCTTATTCCTGTGATAAGAATAAGGATTTGTTTCAAGTAATTTCTAAGCCTTTTGAGACATTTTCAATTCATTTTCAAGCCTTTTTGCTTGTGCTAACAACGCGGGTCTTATTCAATTCATTTTTAAGCCCTTTTACTGTTTCAAGAACGAGGATTTTTCAAAGACAATTTCAATTCATTTTCATATCGTTTTCAAATGTTAAGAATGAGGATTTTTCAAAAACAATTTCAATTAATTTTCAAGTCTATTTCCAGTGCTAGAACGAGGATTTGTTTTAATTCATTTTCAAGCCTTTATGCTGTGCTAAGAAAGACGATACTTTCAATTCATTTTCAAGCCTTTTTAATTTCAATTCCTTTTCAAGCTTTTTTCCTTTGCTAAGAACGAGGATCTGATACAATTAATTTTCAAGCCATTTCCCTTTAGAAATAATTTTGACATTTTAAAGACATTTTCAATTCATTTTCAAGCCTTTTTCCTCTGTTAAAAATGTGAATATTTCTCAGACAATTTCAATTCATTTTCGAGCCTTTTTCATGTCCTAAGAGCGAGGGTTTTGTGAATTTATTTTCAATTCATTTTTAATACTTTTTCCTGTGCTAAGAAGGAGGATTTATTTCAAGCCTTTTAAGACATTTATAATTAATTTTCATGCCTTTTTTCTGTGCTAAGAATGAAGTTTGCCTTCAGATATTTTCAATTCATTTCCAAGTCTCTTTCCTTTACTAAAATGTGGATTTGTTTTAATTCATTTTTAGCCTTTTTGCTGTGTTAACAACGACGATTTTTAAAGACATAAACTAAAAACATCATCAATTCATTTTCAAGCATTTCCTGTGCTAAGAACGAGGATTTATTTCAACTTATTTTCAAGCCTTCTTACCGTGATAGCAAAGAGGACTTTTCAAAGATAATTTCAATTCCTTTTCAAGCTTTTTTCCTTTGCTAAGAACGAGGATCTGATACAATTAATTATTTAGCCTCTTTTTGATATTTTAAAGACATTTTCAAGCATTTTTTCTCTGTTAAAAATGTGAATATTTCACAGACAATTTCAATTCATTTTCAAGCCTTTTTCATGTTCTATGAACGGGGGGTTTGTTAAGATATTTTCAATTCCTTTTTTAAACTACTAAGAAGTAGGATTTTTTTTCAAGCCGTTTAAGACATTTTCAATTCATTTCTATGCCTTTTCCTGTGCTAAGAATAAAGATATTTTCAATTCATTTTCAAGCCTCTTTCCTTTAACAAAAATACGGATTTATTTAAATTCATGTTTAGCCTTTTTCCTGTGTTAACAAGGAGGATTTTTAAAGACATAAATAAAAGGCATCATCAATTCATTTTCAAGCCTTTTTTCTCTGTTAAAAATGTGGATAATTCAAAGACAATTTCAATTCATTTTCAAGCTTTTTTTTCTTGTGCTAACAATCTAATCTAATTCAGTTCATTTTCAAGCCTTTACCCTTTGCGAATAATGTTGATATTTTAAAGGTATTATCAATTCATTTTCAAGTAATTTTACTCTTCCAACAACAAGGACTTTTTAAGAACAAAATTCAATTCATTTCCAAGCCTTTTTCATATGGTAAGAACGAGAATTTGTTTCAACACATTTTTAAGCCTTTTTATTGTTACAGCAGCGAGGATTTTTTAAGAACAATTTCAATACATTTCTATGCCTTTTTCATGTGCTAAGAAAGAATATTGGTTTAACATACTTTCAATTCATTTTCAAGCCATTTTCCTTTTTGAAGAATCTTGATATTTTGAAGACATTATCAACTCATATCCAAGTCTTTTTACTGTGACAATAACGAGGATTTTTCAAAGACAATTTCAATTCATTTTCATGCCTTTTTGGTGAGATAAAAAGGAAGATTTTGTACAAATACATTCAATGCATTTTCAAGCCTTTTTCTTGTGCTAACAACGTGGATATTATTTAATTCATTTTCAAGCCTTTTTACTGTGACAACAACGAGGATTCTTCAAAGTTAATTTCAGTCCATTGTCCAGCCTTTTTGCTGTGCTAAGAATAGAGATTGTATTAAGATACTGCCAATTCATTTTCAAGCCTTTTTCCTGTGCTAAGAACGAGGATTTGATTCAATTAATTTTCAATCCATTTTACTGTGGCAACAACGAGGACTTTTCAAAGACATTATCAATAAATTTTCAAGCATTTTTCCTTTGCTGAAAATGTGCATTATTTTAAAGACACTTTCAATTCATTTTCAAGCCTTTTTCATGCATTCAAAAACTAATTTTGTTATAGACATCATCAATTCATTTTAAAGACATTTTCAATTCATGAGTCTCCGATTCAATTAATTTTCAAGACTTTCCCTTTGGGAACAATGTTAATATTTTCAAGACATTTTCAAGCCTTTTTCCTGGCTGAGAAAAATGTTTTTTAAAGGCTTTTTCCTGTGCTGAAATCGTGAATTTGATTCAATCAATTTTCAAGCCTAATTTTCTGCACTAAAAGTGGGGATAAATTGAAGACATTAGCAATTCATTTTCAAGCCTTTTTCTGGTGCTAATTACGTGCATTTGTTTCAATTAATTTTTAAGCCATTCTCAATGCTCACATCGGGTATTTATTGAAAACATTATCAATTCATTTCCAAGCCTTTGCTTTATGCTAACAACGTGTAGTTTTAAAAACAATTTCAATTCATTTTCAAGCCTTATTCAAGCATTAAAGAACTTATTTTGTTATAGACATGATCAATTCATTTTAAAGACATTTTCAAGTCATTTAAAGACATTTTCAATTCCTGAGGCTCCGATTCAATTAATTTTCAAGACCTTCCCTTTGGGAACAATGTTGATATTTTTAAGACACTTTCAAATCATTTTCAAGCCTTTTTCCTGACTGAGAAAAATAATTTTGTTAAGGTTTTTTCCTGTGCTGGCATCGTAAATTTTATTCAATTCATTATCAAGCCTTATTTCAGCACTAAAAGAGGGGATAAATTGAAGACATTATCAATTCATTTTCAAGCCTTTTTCTGGTGCTAATTATGTGCATTTGTTTCAAATAATTTTCAATTTTGAAGACATTATCAATTCATTTCCAAGTCTTTCACTTATGCTAACAACGTGTAGTTTTAAAAACACTTTCAATTCATTTTCAAGCCTTTTTCATGCATTAAAGAATTTATTGTGTTATAGACATGATCAATTCATTTTAATGACATTTTCAATTCATGTCCAAGCCTTTATCTTTTGCGTGGATTATTCTACGGCATCTTCAATTCATTTTCAAGCCTTTATCCTGTGCTAACAACGTGGATTTTTTAAAGGCATTTCAAGACATTTTCGTGCGCTGACAAACTGGCTTGTTTTGGGACATTCCTAATTCAGTTTCAGGTCTTTTTTTTTTTTTTTTTTTGAGGTAACAATCTGGCAATTGTAGAAGACATTTTCAATTCCTTTTCAAGACTCTTTTCTCAACCAAAATTTGGACTTTCCCACGACTCTTTCAAGCCTTTTTCCTTTCATATTTTCCTAAATTTTTTGTCCCTTTTTCTGAACTACTCCATGGAATTTTGTTATCTCCAATATTCTCAATAATGCCTACGCCTCTGCTTCCCCTACACACACACATTATATATATATAAATTTGTTATTCCATTTTGCATATGTATTTGTATATTTATATACATAAACATATATGTTAGTGTGGTTTTATTGTTTGTATTGTTGTTGTTGTTGTGTTGTTTGCCACTTTATTTTATTTGTTGTAGCCATAACAACAATTTGGTTTAAGGCTAAAATGTCCTCTTTTGGTTGAGTGTGTGTTTGTAAAATGGGTTTTGTTTCCAAAAACCCAAATCAAGCCATATGCCAGCCAGCCAGCCGGCGGGTACGGAGGGCATTCATTTTATTGCTTAATGAACACATTCTATCACCTAATGGGCGTATATATAAAATAAAAATAGAAACTAAGTGCTAAAAACTATTTGAGGTTTATTTGTTTAACATTTAAGCCGTTCTACGCAAATAACCGAACTAAAAATTTCCGTTCAGTCATTTAGTTAGAGATTACAAAAAAAAAAAAAAAGTAATACCTTTTCAAATTAAAAGAATTGCAAAAACATCGCAACTCCCTCCCACCCAAAAAAAGACAATACTTACCTTTGCTCCCGTTTGCGGCTGCTGTTGGGCGCCATATGCACCCATTTTATTGGTCGGTATCAGGGTATTATATTGCAGATATTGTCCATGATGCGAGGGTGGCGGTTGCACCGACATTTGTTGGGTTTGTTGCTGATGCTGCTGTTGTTGCTGCAGTTGTTGTAAATGTTGTGTTTGTGACTTCTTATCGACAACGGCATATGTAGGTATAATGTGATCATACGTGGTCGATGAGGTTATGACAGCATTCTGTTCGGCCAAAGCCGCCGTGGCAAAGGCATGATTGTGGGCATTTGTGGTCCATTCGTCATCTTCGTCGTGGCCATCTGTGGGGTGAAAGAAAAGGAAAATTAAATGCAAAATTAGGATAATTTTTGGAAGATTTTGAAATTACTTCGAAGATTTTTGGAATATTTTTTTCTGCGGATTTTCGGAACAGAAAATTCGAGTTATTTTTTAAGATTTTTTAGGCGCTTAAAATGCGGATTTTTAAAATAAATTATTCATATTATTTTAAAGTCTTTTTTCCTGCCCTTTATTATTTAATAATTGTTTCAAATCATTTTCAAGCCTTTTTAGTCATTTTCAAGTCCTTTCTTGTGCTAAAAATGTGGATTACTTTCAAGCATTTTTAATTCTCTTTCAGTTCTTATTCCTTGTGCTAACATGGCGGATTTTTAAAAATATGTCTGAGCCCTTTTTTATTGAGCTTATAACATAAATTTCTTTCAGATACTTTCAATTCATTTTCAAGCCTTTTTCATGTGATAACAACTTGAATTGTTAGGGACATTTTCAATTCATTTTCAAGCCTTTTTATGCATCTAAATAATGGGACTTTCCCAAATAATTTCAAAGTGTTCTTCCTATGCCGTAATTACGAATTTTGTGAAGATGTTTTGAAGCTTTTTTCATGTCTAATTAGTTATTTTTGCAGAAGATTTGTAAATGATTTAAATCAAGCCCTTTTGATGTCTTTTTTAAGTCTACAATATGGAACATTATTTCAAGCCTTCGTCATTCCTTTTTTCAGACCCTACACGTGTCACTTTTAAAGAATTACCAAGACACTGTAAAGCCTATTGCCTGTGCCAGCAGCGAGTTTCTTTCAAAAAATTTTGCAGGTCAATTTTAGTACTGCTTCCAGAGAAAATTTTAACGAGTTTTTCAATTCATTTCCAAGTCATTTTCAAGCTTATGTCAGAATCGTTGTATCTGACATTTTTAATGTAATCTTCCAGCCATTTGGAAAACCTTTCTTATGGACTCATTAACATTTTATTTTAAGCCCTTTTCAAGACTTCCTTGTGTGTCTACAACGTGGACTTTTTTTTAACGATTTTCAACAAGCCTTTTCATGTCTTCTTTGTGAGCTTGCTTTGTGCATATCTTGAGGGATTCCAGGCCTTTTCTTTTTGTATCTGTCATTGTAGATATGCTAACGAATATTTGAAAATACTTTGAAGCATTTTTTGTGTTTCTTGAACGTTTATTGTTTGAAGAGTATTTCAAGCCTTTTTCATGTCATCTTCAAGCCTCTATTTTTGGCCTACAACATTGATCGTTTAAAGAGCTGTGAAATATTTCTCTTGGCGTCTTTATGCCTTCCAAGTGTGTAAATTATGTTACTCCTTAAACCCCTAATTTAATTTTGTCAACATGTCTTATGGCTTCAAGAGTGTTTCAAGCCTTTTTCATGTCATTGTCAAGCCTTCTTCCTGAACCCACAACATTGATACATTTAAGAGTTTTTCTCCAACGTCAACGTGAGTTCCTTTCAGAAAGGTTCAAGACTTTTTCAAGTTATTTTCAGGCCTTTTCCTTTGCTTAAAATATTGATTTTTTAAAAGATTTTTTTCAAGCCTTTTTCAAGTCTTTTCTTCTGAAGCCACAACAAATGATTATTGAAATAGGTTTTCAAGATTTTTATCCTTTTTTCAAGTCGTATGCCATCCGCTAATAGTTTGAGCAGTTTACAAATTTTTATCCCGATTCCTACCATTTTAACTTTAGCAGAGACGTCCAAGCCTTTTTCAAGTCTTTTTCAAGCATTCTCTCTAAACTCACAACATCGATTGTTAAAAGAGTTTTTTTACAAAATTTTCATGTCTTTTTAAGTCATCTGCCTATGATTACATCATTGAATGTTTACGGAGTTTCGAAGTTTTTATCCTAGTTCCTGCAACGTCAGATCCTTACAGAAATGTTAATGACTTTTTCGAGTTGTTTTCAAGCTTTTTTTCTTAGCTAGCAATAGGATTTAGCTAAACGATTTTGATTGTACCTTCAATTCTAAAAGTAGGTACATGTTATTGTTCAAAGAGTATTTCAAGCCTTTTTCATGTCGTTTTCAAGCCTTCTTCTCGAAGAAAGCATTCATCTATGTTTTACAAGATTTTTTCAAGCCGTTGTCAAGTTATTTTCCTGGGCGTATAAAAAGCTTCCAAAGAGTATTTCAAGCCTTTTTCATGTCGTTTTCAAGCCTTCTTCCTGAACCCACTACATTGATATATTAAAGAGTTTTTCAAGATTTTTTTTCATGTCACATGTCTGAGCTTTCAATGTTAAATACTCAAGCCGTTTTCAAGTTTTTATTCCAAAGCCTGCAACGTTAGTTCTTTATAGAATCATTCAAGCCTTTTTCAATTTCTTATCAAGCTTTTTTCATGTTCTTTCAACATCCATGTTTTAAATTACTTTTTCAAGCCTTAGTCAAGTTATTTTCCTGGGCGTATAAAAAAGCTTCCTTTGTGCTTACATCTCTTAATTTTCAAAGAGATTTACAAGCCTTTTTCATGTCATTTTCAAGCCTTCTCCTTAAACCCACTACATTGATATATTAAAGAGTTTTTCAAGATTTTTCTCATGACATATGCCTGTGCTTACAATGTTAAATGTTCAAGACGTTTTCAGGTTTTATTCCTAAGCCTGCAACGTTAAGTCCTTACAGAAACTGTCCCTGTTTTTTCAACATCCATGTTTTAAAAGACTTTTTCAAGCCCTTGTAAAGTTACTTTCCTGGGCGTATAAAAAGCTTATTTTGATTGTGCCTACAGCTCGAATTATTCAAAGTGTATTTCAAGCCTTTTTCATGTCGTTTTCAAGACTTTTTTTCTGAAGCCATAACATTGATCGTTCGAAATGTTTTCAAGTTTTTTTCTTGTCGCTTTCAAGCCTTTGGTTTATACCTGATTTCACCGTTTTCATAGAGTTTTTTTTTCCGGCGATTAAAACGTCGATTGCTTGTAGAAAGTTTCAAGCTTTTTTCAGGTTGTTTTCAAGCCATTTTCCTCTGCTTGCCAAATGGATTTTAAAGAATTGTTAATGCCCTTTTCAAGCCTCTTTCATGAATGTTTATAAATCATATTTTTTAGAGTTACGAATCTATTTTCCGAGCCCATATTTTGAGATTTTCGAAAATATTTTTCAAAATTCCTTCCAAGTTTGCGGATGGTTTTTTTTTATTTCAAACTTTTCACTTACCCTGTGGTATTATATCCGGATTCTTATCAATGCTATCTATACTGCTTGTCACATGACAATTGCCGCGACCATTATGCATGTCATGGCTGTTGTGCAGCGAACCCAAGCCATTATTGTTGCGTCCCTGGGCCGTTGCCGTGCCATGCATATAATTATTACGATCTCTACCCGATGAGCCGCGCATGCGTACAATAATCACTATGATAAAGGCCACCAAAATGATGCTGACCACAATGCCCACGAGGATGCCCAGAAATGGACGTATATCCTCAATGACGGGGGCATAGGCCAAGGAGAGATCTGTGAAGGAGGGAGAAATGAGAAAATTAAAATAAAATTTTAATTTTTTTTTTAATATTTATTTAATTATATCTTTTTTGTTAATTTTTTTAAGCCATCTGCAAAGTTAAGAAAATGTATTTTTTATTTTTTAAAAAAATATTAAAAATAAAATTCAGTGCATAATTATTAATTCCAACAAAAATAACCAAAAAAATCTCTTACTTTTCTTATTGGACTTGGGTGGTGGTGGTGTTAAATTATAAGGTGTACAGGGGGTGGTGGTAGTTGAGGTGCTGAGAACAGTCACATTAAACAAAGGCATTGTTGTAACGAATTGCTTTTTGTAAGTAATCAAAACTGAAAAAATTTGTTATCAAGAAAATATATTTTTTTAAATATTAAATAAATAAATTCCCCAGGGCTGGGAAGTCAATAAGGACGAATTAGAAATAAAAACAATTTTATCTGCATCTGAGTTACTTCCTTTCCAAGTTCTCTTAAACAAAAGAGACCTCTGGAAGTTTTGGAAATCTGGCCTTGCAACAAATTCCCACTTCCCAGCCCTGGTGGTTTTCCAGTAAAACTAAAACTCTAAACTACAGCATGCCAACTACAAATATCTGGTATAAAAGGCTTTAAATTCACAGCACAGAAAAGTGGTCCCCTTCCACCTCCCACTCTCTCTCTCCGCCCACCCTTGACATGGCCTGGAGACCACCATTTCTCTGGCGAACTTTCAGTTCGGCAAAAATGACACATCTTGTCGTAACACAAAACTATGAAAGACTACCACCAACTGTAGATTTGTTTGTCCACAAACCTGTCTGTTTTTCGGGATCCTTAAGTGTATAGACTTGCAGGATTGTGGCATTACTGCGTCCTTTGCTATTGTGAGCTACCAAAAATACATTATAGCCGGCACCTGGAATCAGGCCACGCACCTCAAAATATGGTGTTCTGAAAATTTTGCAACATTTCCCAAAAAAAAGGAATGTTGTTGTTTCCGGGCCAGGCGTAGCAACAAAAAGGGTTGGGGTGAGCGGGTTTTGGTAATGTTGATGATGGCGGTGTTGGTTTCCAGTAAGTCACAGGAGAAGTGTGCGGCCGGAGAAAACAAATGCAGATAGCAATTTGCATACATTTTCACAAAGACCACACACACACATAGAGGGAGTTACGCACACACCCAATTGCATTTGGAGTAGCATGATTTCATGGTAACGTAATATGAAGTGACAGGATTTTTTTTTTCCGAACGGCAGTTGTCGTTGCATTTGTACCAGTCATTGTCGTCGTCATCATCATCATCCGCATCCACATCATGGTGTTTGCAATAACAACAGCAACATTGCATGGTATTTGTCGTTGAAGGGCAGCAAAAGATTGTCCGGATATAAAAGAGCATATATAAGACATTTTTGAAAAATGATAGCAGCAGCAGGCATTTGGAAAAAAAATAAAACGAGAAAAGGAAGAAAGAAGTTTAAAATTTAAAAATATGTTTTCTTTGCATTTTTAATGCTACTCACTTAGATTTGTAGATTTTCGGATGCCTTGTGGTACCATTCACATATACCTCCATAATGAAATCCTGTTGCAGGCCACCATCGAAACCCTCAACACATTCAATTTGAAAGCCGGTTGAGGTTTGATTGAGTAGCGTGCAGTTTACCAAGGGATCCGGTTCACCTGAAAAATTAGCATGGATTTTAAAGGATATTTTTTCAATTCATTTTCAAGCCTTTTTCAATACCTTTTTCAAGCTTATGTCTAAGGATTTTTATGGATATTTGTTATTGATTTGGAATGATATTGAGGTGGATATGAAGTAAATGCATTATTTTTATGTCGTTCGTTGTTCAAAATACAAAGACTTTTGAAATAGTTCTTCAATTCATTTTCAAGCTTTTTTCAAGTCATTTTCAATCTTAACTTAAGAGGGAAATTTTCAATTCCTCTGAAGATAATTGTTCCAGTAGCAAATGAAACCGACATTTCAATACATTTTCATATCTTTTTCATATTTAAATAAAGAAGATTTTGTACAAGAAATCGTTCAAGTAATTTTCAAGCCTTTTTCAAGTCATTTTCAATTTTATTTTTAAAGGAAATTCCCAATGCCTTTGAAGCTAATTGTTCCAATAGCAAATAAAACTGACAGTACAATTAATTTACATGCCATTTCACGATTCAAATACCGAAGATTTTTTAAACAATATGTTCAAGTCATTTTCAAGCCTTTTTCAATTCATTTTACAGTCACTTTTTATTGAACTGCAATAAACTTTGATGTGAAATTATTCAGGCCCTATACAATGTGGCTTTTATAAACTATTAAAACACTCATCTTATTCTGTGCCTTCAATTTGGATTTGTTAAAGAAAACTCAACATATTTTCAAGCCTTTTTCAAGTCATTTTCAAGCTTAAAACCTGATTTTGTATAATATGTTCTCAAATCATTTACAAGTCATTTCTACAAACTGAATTGGTCAAATAAATCTGACAATTTATTTAAATCTCGTTTTATGATTAAAAAAATTAAGATTTTTGAAACAATATGTTCAAGTCATTTTCAAGCCTTATTCAAGTCATTTACTGTCACTTTTCATTTACCTACAAATTTTCAAGTCATTTTCAAGCCTTTTTCGTTTCATTTTCAAGCCTTTTTCAATTTTTTTTCATTTAACTACCATAAACTTTTTCATGAAAGTAATCAAGCCCTATACAATCTGACTTATATGGACTTTCAAAACCCTCTTTATATCTTGTGCCTTCAAGGTGTATATATAAAAGAGAACTCAACAAACCTTTAAGCTTTTTTCAAGTCATTTTCAAGCCTAAGATTTGACTTTGTAAAATATATTTTTAAATCATTTACAAGTCATTTCTACAAAATTAAATAATTAGTGAATTTCTGAAGACATTTTTTAACCCTTAGGACCTTTAAAGTATCCAGCGTGTGTTAGAAAATTTTCAAGTTATTTTCAAGCCTTTTTCAAATCATTTTCAATCTTGATTCAAAGAAACAATTTCGATATTTTTGAATATAAATATTCCCTTACCAAATATAACTGAAAACTCAATTTATTTTCAAGTCATTTCTGTATTCGAATAACGAACAAACTTTTCAACTAATTTTCAAGCCTTTTTCGAGTCATTTCACAGTCACTCTCCATTTAATTACAATTAAAGTTTTTTAGGAATTATTTAAGCCCCATACCACTTTATTTATACAAAATGGGTTAATTAGTGAATTTCTGAAGACAGTTTTAAGGCTTTTAGGAACTTCAAAGTATCCAGCGTGTGTTAGAAAATTTTCAAGTCATTTTCAAGCCTTTTTCAAATCATTTTTATTCTTAATTTTATGAAAAGAGTTCGATGTTTTTGAATATAATTATTCCTTTAGCAAATAAATCTGACAATTCAATTCATTTATATGTCGTTTCATGATTCAAAAATCGAAGGTTTTAAAAAGAAAATGTTCAAGTCATTTTCAAGCTTTTTTCAAGACATTATACTGTGATATTTGATTTAACTACAACAAACGTTTTTAAGGAATTATTCAAGACCCACACAAAGTGTCTTCCACGACCTTCCATGCGAGTCATTATATCCTGTGCCTTTAACGTGGACTTACAAAAAACTTAACATATTTTCAAGCCTTTCTCCTGTGGATTTTGTAAATTATATTTTTTTTAAGGATCAAAGGAACGCGGATTTTTTAAATAATATTTTTTCTAAGGAATATAGGAGCGGGGATTTTTTAAATAATATTTTTTCGAAGGACCAAAGGGACGTGGATTTTTTAAATAATATTTTTTCGAAGGACCAAAGGGACGTGGATTTTTAAATAATATATTTTTGAGAACCAAGAACCAAAGGCACATGGATTTTTTAAAAAATACTTTTTCAAAGGACCAAATGGACTTGGATTTTTTAAAAGGAATTTTTTCCAAGTACGAAAAGAATGTGGATTTTTTAAATAATATTTTTTCGAAGGACCAAGGAATGTGGATTTTTTAAAAAATATTTTTTCAAAGCAACAAAGGAACTTGGATTTTTTAAAAAATATTTTTTCAAAGCCACAAAGGAACGTGAATTTTTTAAAAAATATTTTTTCAAAGCAACAAAGGAACGTGGATTTTTTAAAAAATATTTTTTCAAAGCAACAATGGAACGTGGATTTTTTAAAAAAATATTTTTTCAAAGCAACAAAGGAACGTGGATTTTTTAAAAAATATTTTTTCAAAGCAACAAAGGAACGTGGATTTTTTAAAAAATATTTTTTCAAAGCAACAAAGGAACGTGGATTTTTAAAAATTTTTTTTCAAAGCAACAAAGGAACGTGGATTTTTTAAAATATATTTTTTCAAAGCAACAAAGGAACGTGGATTTTTTAAAAAATATTTTTTCAAAGCCACAAAGGAACGTGGATTTTTTAAAAAAAAATTTTTTCAAAGCAACAAAGGAACGTGGATTTTTTAAAAAATATTTTTTCAAAGCAACAAAAGAACGTGGATTTTTTAAATAATATTTTTTCGAAGGACCAAGGAATGTGGATTTTTTAAAAAATATTTTTTCAAAGCAACAAAGGAACGTGGATTTTTTAAAAAATATTTTTTCAAAGCCACAAAGGAACGTGGGTTTTTTAAAATATATTTTTTCAAAGCAACAAAGGAACGTGGATTTTTTAAAAAATATTTTTTCAAAGCAACAAAGGAACGTGGATTTTTTAAAAAAATATTTTTTCAAAGCAACAAGGGAACGTGGATTTTTTAAAATATATTTTTTCAAAGCAACAAAGGAACGTGGATTTTTTAAAAAATATTTTTTCAAAGCAACAAAGGAACGTGGATTTTTTAAAAAAATATTTTTCAAAGCAACAAAGGAACGTGGATTTTTTAAAAAATATTTTTTCAAAGCAACAAAGGAACGTGGATTTTTTAAAAAATATTTTTTCAAAGCAACAAAGGAACGTGGATTTTTTAAAAAATATTTTTTCAAAGCAACAAAGGTACGTGGATTTTTTAAAAATTATTTTTTCTAAGAAAAGAAAGAACGTGGATTTTTTAAAAATTATTTTTTCCAAGAAAAGAAGGAACGTGGATTTTTTAAAAATTATTTTCTCAAAGGACCAATGGAATGAGGATTTTTTAAATAATATTTTTCCAAGGACCAATGGGACGTGGATTTTTAAATAATATTGTTTCCAAGGAAAGAATGAACGTGGATTTTTTAAAAAATATCTTCTCTAAGGAAAGAATAAGCGTGGATTTTTTAAAAAATATTTTTTCAAAGGACCAAAGGCACGTTGATTTTTTAAAAATTATTTTTTCAAAGGACCAAAGGTACGTGGATTTTTTAAAAAATATTTTTTCAATGGACCAAAGGCACGTGGATTTTTTAAAAAGTATTTTTTCAAAGGACCACAGGCACGTGGATTTTTAAAAAAGTATTTTTTCAAAGGACCAAAGGCACGTGGATTTTTTAAAAAATATTTTCTCTAAGGAAAGAAGGAACGTGGATTTTTTAAAAATTATTTTTTCCAAGGAAAGGAGGATCGTGGATTTTTTAAAAATTATTTTTTCCAAGGAAAGAAAGAACGTGGATTTTTTAAAAATATTTTTTTCCAAGGAAAGAAGGAACGTGGGTTTTTTAAAAAATATTTTTTCAAGGGACCAAAGGCATTTGGATTTTTTAAAAAATATTTTTTTAAAGGACCAAAGGCACGTAAATTTATTATATATTTTTTTTCAATATTTTTTTAAAGGAATGGGATGCGATTTTTAAACATCCTTGATTCTCTACCCCACCCTTCTTCATTGTTTATTGCAAAATATCGCAATGAAAAATGAGAAAATCTATTTTCCCTATTGTTCCATTGTTTGTGTTTACCGATGTCGCAATGCCATTAGCGTGGCATACTTCCGCTAAACACATATGCCTGTAGTTGTAATTACAAACACATATTGAAAACCACGAATATTAGCATTGTAAACCGGATATGAATACAGACGAACGCACACAGACAAAAAGCCCATCAGAGTGTAAATAACAACGACAACACCAATGCGGAAACAAAAACATCCTTAATGGAAGTAACATTGAGGTCCTTGATAACGATTAATGTCACAACGAGCGAGCGCTACGGTCTATAAAAGAAAAATGAATTCTGGTGACTGGTTCATCCGCTCATCTCCTTTTCCCAACTTCTCCCTTCTCTCACAGACCATCTGTCTCTTGTTTGGCATTGTTATTTCTAGTCTGTGATAGATGACCCGGCGACGAGAGGCCGAGTCAAAATTAATTAATGGTTGAATGACTTTGCGGTGATTGACACAAGTCGCGAGAGTTCTGTACCAAACTCCTCCTCCTCCCGCCCAGAGTTTACTGGTGGCAAGTCAAATAGCACGTTTTCATAAAACATGATTTGGCAGTTAACAATACCCGCAACACGCCGAAGGATAGATGATTTGACTGCATCAACGCAGCTATTTGCAATACAACAGTTACAACTACTTACCTGCTGGGGCTATGGTATAGACACAGGGTTCTGTCTGATCACCGATTTCATTACTGGCCCAACACAGTAAAGTGCCATAGTCCTGTAAAATAGAGAGAGCGAGAGAAAAAAAAAACATCAACAACATGTTACAATCATAAAAGCAATGCGATTTTAGGTTCGGCCGTGATTGAAAGCGTGGTGGCATATGCCACGGCTCGCCAATTGAAAATTCCGAAAACATTGTTGGCGTTTCGGACACATCACCAATTGTCGAATGTGTTTTTTTTTGGCCAGTTTTGAGAAAACTACAAATCATGACCACCACACATGAAAACCGTAAAGGATACCACAACCGCACACAATTCATTAAGCTAATTATGGAAATCTATTTGGTAGATTGTGATAATTAATGTGAAGGGGGGTGGCAATTAAAATTTGGAGGTGTGTTGAAGGGAACCAAAAAAAAAAAAAAAAATGGAAAACAAAAATGTGAAAGAGAAAATGGAAGAGCAGGAAAAATGTGGTTTAAAAAATATTTTTGCTGATTTTTCAACTAAAAGTGCATTTAAAAAATAATTTTTAGGGATCGGAATAATGATTTAGAATATAAAAAAGAACTCTAACAAACGTGGATTATTATAAAATATATTTAAGTGACGTCCAACAAATTGACAGAAATTGCTCAGCCTCGTAACAGCATCAGGAACGTGGATTTTTTAAATCATATTTTTTCCAAGGACCAACTGATCGTGGATTTTTTAAATAATATATTTCCGAGGACCAAAAGAACAAGGATTATTTAAATAATATTTTTTTCAAAGGACCAATAATATGGGGATTTTTTAAATGAATTTTTTTTGCAAGAGCAAAAATAACGTGGATTTTTAAAATAATTTTTTTAAAGACCCAAAGTAACGTGGATTTTTTAAATAATATTTTTTCAAAGGGCAAGGAACAAAGTAACTTGGATTTTTCAAATAATATTTTTTCCAAGAACCAAAGGAACGTGGATTTTTTAAATAATATTTTTTTCTAGGACCAAAGGATCGTCGATTTTTTAAATAACATTTTTTCCATGGTTCACAGGAATTTGGATTTTTTAAATAACATAATAAATAACAACATTTTTTTCAAGGAACAAAGGAACGTGAATTTTTTAAACAATATTTTTTTCCAAAGATCAAAGGAACGTTTATTTTTTTAAATAATTTTTTTTTTCCAAGGACCTAAGGAATTTGCATTTTTTAACTAATATTTTTTTCCAAGAGCCATATAAACGTGGATTTTTTTAAATATTTTTTTTCCAAGGGCTAAATTAATGTGGATTTTTTTAATAATATTTTTTTAATGGATTATAGGTAAGTGAGGTTCTTAAAGAATATTTTTTTCAATGGCCAAAGGATCAAAGATTTTTTAAATAATATTTTTTTCTAGGGAAAAAGGAAATTGGATTTTTAAAATAATTTTTTCCAAAGACCAAATAAAGTGGATTTTTGAAAAAATATATATTTTTTAAGTTAAGTTCTTAAATAATACTTTTTTTTCCAATGGAAAAAAGGATCATAAATTTTGTATATAATATTTTTTTCTAGGGAAAAATGAACTTGGATTTTTTTAAATAATATTTTTTCCCAAGGGTCAAAGGAGCGTGGATTTTTGAAATAATATTTTTCCAAGGACCAAAGGAACATTGATTTTTGAAACAATATTTTTCTAAGGGCCAAAGAAAAATGAATTTTTGAAATAATATTTTTCCAAGGACGAAAGGAACATGGATTTTTTAAATAATATTTTTCCCGAAACTAACGGAACGTGGATTTTTTGAATACCATGTTTTCCAAAGACCAAAGGAAGGTGAATTCTTTAAGAAATATATTTTTTAATTTTTCGAATAATATTTTTTCCAAGGACCAAAGAACGTGGATTTTTTTAAATAATATTTTTTTCGAGAACCAAAGGAACGTGGATTTTTTAAATAATTTTTTTAAGGTCCAATGTAACGTGGATTTTTTTAAATAACATTTTTTCCATGGACCAAAGAACATGGTTTGTTAAATAATATTTTGAAAGGACCAAAGAAACGTGGATTTTTTAAATAATATTTCTTCATGAACCAAAGGACGTTGATTTTTTAAATAGTATTTTTTTTTCAAGGACCAAGGGAAGAGGATTTTTTAAATAATATTTTTCCCAAGGACCAAAGGAACGTTGATTTTTTAAATACCATGTTTTCGAAAGACCAAAGGAACGTGGATTTTTTTAAATAATATTTTTTTCAAGGACCAAGGGAAGAGGATTTTTTAAATAATATTTCTTCAACAACCAAAGGACATGGATTTTTTGAAACATATTTTTCTTGAGACCATATTAATGAAAATTATATAATCAAAAAAATAAATAAATAAAAACGAAAGACAGAAAAAGAAAAATATTAAAGGGTCAAAAAAGCGTGAATGTTAAAGAATTTTTTTGATTAAAAATTCAAAAAAAAAGAGGCTATTACAAAATATTTTTCCACGGGCCTTCGAACACTTGAATATTTTTCGAGGTAATTAACGGGGATCTCCAACAAACGTGGATTCTTAAAAAAAAATATTTTTTTATGGTTCTACTAAAAATATACGTAAAAACATTTATTAATGGTAATTTTTTTAAAATTAGTATTTTTAAGGACCTTCAACGAACTTTTTTTTAAAAAAATATATATTTTTAAGGACCCTTAACAAACGTGGATTTTCTTAAACCTTCCTTAACAAAAGGGATTTTTTAAAACAATATTTTTTAATAACCTAAACAAACGTGAATTCTTAAATAAATATTTTTTAATGTCCTGCAAAAAAAAAAAAATAGATTTCAAAAAATAATTATTGAGGAACCATCCATAAACGTTGATTTAATAAAAAAGATATTTTTAAAAACCCTCAAAAAGCTTGGATTTAAAAAAATATTTTTAAGGACCCTTAACGAACGTGTTTAAAACACTTTTCAAATGTGGATTAAAACAAAAACGTTTCTAAGGTCCTACAAAAAAAAATTCGATTTTAAAAAAATATTTATTCAGGGACCATCCATGAACGTGGATTTAACAAAAAAATGTTTTTAAGAACCCTAAAGTCCTTAATAAACGTGGATTTTTTGTAAAAAAATTGTCTTTATTTTTTTTAGAAATTATTTTAAACAATTCAAACTTGGAATTTAAAAAATATTTCCAAGGAAACTTAACAAACGTGGATTAAAAAAATATATTTTTAAGGATACTTAACATGAATTGTTTAATTGTTTGCATGAATTGTTTTAAAAATTTATATTTTTATGGACTATTAGCAAACGTATAAAATTTTTAAAGACCCTCAAAATACGTGGCCTTAGAAAAAAATAAAAAACCTTCAATAAACGTGGATTTTTGAATTGGATATGCTATTGAATACCTTTGTTTGTTCCGCTTAAAAAGCGGAAATTAGGGGAAATCTTTCGAAGAGGAAATAAGTAAAGAATTTGCTAAATTCGACCGAGCCGAATATGTAATACCCTCCACCATTTGGAAGGAACTTAAACAATTTTAAATAAATTCTATCGAAAAATACCGCTTAGGTGAAAAAAACCTTATATGGGGGCTATACGAAGCATACACAATATTCCGTCGTAGACTGTAGTACCCACTACGAACTTCAAACACGAAAATTGAAACAATTCCGGTGAATAATGTCTCCAAAATCATCAAAATACCGAATATCGGAAGGTATCGTTATATGGGGGCTATATGAGAACCTGGACCTACATCGACAGTTTCCCCTCATAAATTGTAGTACCCATTACGAACTTCAAATACGAAATTTTAAACAATTCCGGTGAATAATGCCGCTAATATCATCAAAATACCGAATATCGGGTGGTAACCGTTATGTGGGGGCTATAAGAAAACGTGGACCTGCACATACAACTTTCCATTATAGATTGTGGTATCCATTACGAACTTTGAAATCGAAATTTGAAACAATTCCGGTTAATAATGTCGCTAAAGTCATCCAAATACCAAATATCGGGAGGTAACCGTTATGTGGGGGCTATAAGAAGACATGGGCCTGCATAGAAAATTTTCCATCATAGGCTGAAGTAGCCATACGAATGTCAAATACGAAATTTGAAATAATTTCGGTAAATAATGTCTCTAAAATCATCAAAATGCCGAATATCAGGTGGTATCGTTATATGGGTGCTATACGAAGATGTCGACTATACCTGCATAGAAATCCACTTTCTCTTGATTTTTTGAAATAAGCTTCTTGTAAAAATTACGATATCTTGAAAAAAAATCCACTATGTGTTGCTACTCGGAATTTTTTTTCAAAACATTTTTTTTTTGTTAATCCAAAAGGTACCTCTTTCCCCAATATTTCCTATTCTAGCTTTGACACAATTATCCCTATTACCCAGGTGCAGCATAAATTAGAAAACAAAAGGAATTCTCTGAACAATGCTAGGACACCATTGTCTTCTATCTTCGACACATACCTCCTCTTCTCACCCATCCCTTCCCTCTCCAAACCTGGTTAAATCTCAGCTGCTTGTTTCAATTTCCCCGATCAAATATGTTATACTTCCTGCATGCAATGGAAAGGTAGTTTATCTCTGACTAACATCCACGTACACCCGCACACACACACACACTGCCCTACACCCGTAGGTATTCAGGACATAAATGAAACATTGAAGACTCATCAATCTGTCTTCTGACCAAGTTGCAGATGAATGACTGAACCGGTGTGTCCTTTATGCCGGTTAGAACGAAGTTATATATCGCTTGTCTATCTACACTGCATGCTAGCCGCCAAATGGAACAACAGCAACAACACCAACAAAAAACGCAAACAATTTTAATCGCTTTTTGCCGTTTACATGTCCTGTCATTCTTACAAAGCCACACAGCCACACTTTCAATCACCCCCTCTTCGCCCTCCCTCCCTCCCGTAACACATATTTGGTTTAACTTACATTCTCTGTCATCGGTGTATAATGGGCCACGCTCCGTCCTCGATCGACAGCTATCAGGGATGCCGGTATATCGATTGTTTCGCCAAGTGTTGCATTGAATTTCCAGCTGTAGTTGGCTTCCGGTGGATTTGCATCAATTTCGCAGGCGACCTTTGCCATCTCCTGACGGCCGGTGCTGTAAACGGTGCGTTGGCCTTGCCGGCAGACAGGTGCAACTGTGGTGATAAGAGAAAGCGAGAAAGAAAGGAATATGAAATGAATGAAAGGAAAATAGATATTGTCCTGCAAAGTAATAACTGAGGGATGAGTTTGGAAAATAAGGACATTTTTTTCTAAATAAAACAAGTAAAAAAGCTGTAAGTTCGGCCAGGCCGAACTTTGAATACCCTCCACCATTTGGTAAGAATTTAACAATTTTCAAAAAAAAATCTAAAATCATCAAAATACCGAATATAGGGGTGTACCGTTATACGGGGGCTATACGAAGACGTGGACCTGCACAGACAATTTTCTGTCATAGGCTGTAGTATCCATTACGAACTTCAAAAGCGAAATTTGAAACAATTCTGGTAAATATGTTCGCTAAAATAATCAAAATACCGAATATCGGGGGGTACCGTAATATGGGGGCTGTACGAAGACGTAGACCTACATGACATATTTTCTGTCTTAGGATGTAGTATCTATTACGAACTTCAAATACCAAAATTGAAGCAATTCCAGTGAAAAATGTCCCTAAAATCATTAGAATACCGAATATCGGGAGGTACCGCAATATGGGGGCTATACGAAGACGTGGACCTGTACAGACAATTTTCTGTCATAGGCTGTAGTATCAGTTACGAACTTCAAATACCAAAATTGAAGCAATTCCAGTGAAAAATGTCCCTAAAATCATTAAAATACCGAATATCGGGAGGTACCGTAATACGGGGGCTATACGAAGACGTGGACCTGCACAGACAATTTTCTGTCATAGGCTGTAGTATCAGTTACGAACTTCAAATACCAAAATTGAAGTAAATCCGGTAAATAATGTCGCTAAAATCATCAAAATACCGAATATCGGGGTGTACCGTTAAATGGGGGCTATACGAAGGCGTGGTCCTGCACAGACAATTTTCTGTGATAGGCTGTAGCATCCATTGCGAACTTCAAATACTAAATTTGAAATAGTTCCGGTAAATAATGTGGCAAAAATTAACAAAATACCGAATATCGGGGGGTACCGTTACATGGGGGCTATACGAAGACGTAGAACTACATGGCCTATTTTCTGTCTTAGGATGTAGTATCCATTACGAACTTCAAATACCAAATTTGAAACCATTCCGGTAAATAATGTGGCTAAAATCATCAAAATACCGAATATTGGGGGGTACCGTTATATGGGGGCTATACGAAGACGTGGACCTACATTGCCCATTTTCTGTTTTATGTTGTAGTATCTATGAAAAACTTTAAATACCAAATTTGAAACAATTCCGCTAAATAATGTAGCTAAAATCATCAAAATACCGAATATCGGGAGGTACTGGTACATATGGGACCTATCCGAAGACGTGGACCTTCATGGCCCATTTTCAATTCCAAAAGTCCTGCAGACATGGTACACATTTGAGTAAAATTTTATCAACCTACTTCATTTCGTTCGGAAGCTAGAGTGATTTCCACGGACGGACAGACGGACGGACTTTGATAAATCGACATAGAATTTTATGCTGATCAAGAATATGTATATACTTTGTGGGGTCTAAAATGTATATTTCGAGGTGTTACAAACGGAATGACAAACTTAATATCCATACCCATACTATGGTGGAGGGTATAAAAATGCATTTTCATTCTAAAACGAGGGAAAACTTAAGAATCATATGGGTTATAAATTGGTCGTTTATGGTCAATTATAAGAAAATATTTGTGGTCGTCTTTTGGAAGGTCTTCATGAGCTTCGATAATTTTTTTTTTTAATTTTTACTTGCCTTTTGTTCTCCAATAACTCCCTATCTTTTTTATACATTTTTATTTAAATTATTATTTTTTTTTTAAATTCGCCACGAACCCCTACATCTCAGCCTGTACCATTTCACCCTGCAAGGACTATGCCTCTCTGTTCCTTTTGAATTTGAATATGAAAAATATGTTGAATGTGGAACATTTAATTTCAAAGTCACCACAGTAACAACCCACAGGAACATGCCACTAAATCTATGTATACATCTACGTCTTCTACTTCCTAACCATCTTTCTGCTTCTTCTTCTTCTTCTACCTACGTAGGATACATCCCTTCGTCTAGGAAAAATCCTGAAAATGCCCAACACAATTGTCAAGGAGGAGCAGCGTCATAATGATCTACTTTGTAAAGCCTATGTCAAGCTATGAGTTGAGATGGTGGGTTAAAATGCAAAAGGGACTAAGCCGCAAAATTAAAAGTATTGTGAAATTTATTTTAATTTAAATTTTTACCCTACAACACCAAGTGTTGTGTGTTCGAAAATAGTACCTCCTAACATCGACTCTACTCCTAAATCGAGATACCCACTCCAAATTTCAATGTCTGAGCTGTAACCGAAATGGTACCAGATGTAGTACATTTTACATTCGGTTGGCCATCAGAACTCAAGCGCCGGCCATGGTGATGGTGTGGGCCGCCATAACAGCCGATCGACGCTCTCCGCTCGGATCTGCAACAAACGTGGATTTTTTAAAATATTTTTCCAAGGATCTGCAACAAACGTGGATTTTTTAAAATATTTTTCCAAGGATCTGCAACAAACGTGGATTTTTTTAAAATAATTTTTTAAGGACCTGCAGACCGTGGATTTTTTAAAATATTTTTCCAAGGATCTGCAACAAACATGGATTTTTTAAAATATTTTTCCAAGGATCTGCAACAAACGTGGATTTTTTAAAATATTTTTCCAAGGATCTGCAACAAACGTGGATTTTTTTTTAAATAATTTTTTAAGGACCGCAGACCGTGGATTTTTTAAAATATTTTTCCAAGGATCTGCAACAAACGTGGATTTTTTAAAATATTTTTCCAAGGATCTGCAACAAACGTGGATTTTTTAAAATATTTTTCCAAGGATCTGCAACAAACGTGGATTTTTTAAAATATTTTTCCAAGGATCTGCAACAAACGTGGATTTTTTAAAATATTTTTCCAAGGATCTGCAACAAACTTGGATTTTTTAAAATATTTTTCCAAGGATCTGCAACAAACGTATATTTTTTTAAAATAATTTTTCAAGGACCGCAGACCGTGGATTTTTTAAAATATTTTTCCAAGGATCTGCAACAAACGTGGATTTTTTTTAAAATATTTTTCCAAGGATCTGCAACAAACGTGGATTTTTTAAAATATTTTTCCAAGGATCTGCAACAAACGTGGATTTTTTAAAATATTTTTCCAAGGATCTGCAACAAACGTGGATTTTTTAAAATATTTTTCCAAGGATCTGCAACAAACGTGGATTTTTTAAAATATTTTTCCAAGGATCTGCAACAAACGTGGATTTTTTAAAATATTTTTCCAAGGATCTGCAACAAACGTGAATTTTTTAAAATATTTTTCCAAGGATCTGCAACAAACTTGGATTTTTTAAAATATTTTTCCAAGGATCTGCAACAAGCTTGGATTTTTTAAAATATTTTTCCAAGGATCTGCAACAAACGTGGATTTTTTTTTTAAATAATTTTTTAAGGACCGCAGACCGTGGATTTTTTAAAATATTTTTCCAAACGTGGATTTTTTAAAATATTTTTCCAAGGATCTGCAACAAACGTGGATTTTTTAAAATATTTTTCCAAGGATCTGCAACAAACGTGGATTTTTTAAAATATTTTTCCAAGGATCTGCAACAAACGTGGATTTTTTAAAATATTTTTCCAAGGATCTGCAACAAACGTGGATTTTTTTAATATTTTTCCAAGGATCTAAGGATATTTTTTTTAATAAAAGTTTCCACTTTTACCCCTTCAGAATAAATGCCGAATATTAACGCCGCAATTTGCCGAATATTATTGCCGCAGACCTTGGAAATTCCAACAGGAGGACTCAGCACCATCGCACTCAGCACTCGCCACCGCCACCCAAGAATGGTTACAAATTGAGGTTCCTCGCTTCATTTCCAGTGCACAATGGCCACTAAAATCTCCGGATACCAATCCGTTGGACTATTGTGTCTGGAGTATTTTGGAAAGCAAGGTTGGCACTAAGACATACCAAAGGGTCGTTCACCTCAAGCAAGCGCTTCGCCGGGAATGGGTCAAAATATCGCAGAACACCATTCGGGCAGCGTGTGACGGTTTCATTGGCCGTTTGAAGGCCACAATTCGTGCCAAAGGTGATCAATTCGAACAAATCTAAACGTTGATGTTTCAAAACTTTTGGTATTTAAAGTTCGTAATAGATACTACGGCTAAAGACAGAAAATTGTCTGTGCTGGTCCACGTCCTCGTATAACCCCCATATAACGGTACCTCCCGATATTCGTTATTTTGAAGATTTTAGCGAATTTTTTCACCGGAATTATTTCAAATTTGATATTTGAAGTTCGTAATGGATACTACAGCCTATGACAGAAAATTTTCTGTTCAGGTCCACGTCTTCGTAGAGCCCCCATATTACGGTACCTCCCGATAATCGGTATTTTGATTATTTAAACGAATTTATTCACCGGAATTGTTTCCAATCTTGTATTTGAAGTTCGTAATGGATACTACAGCCTATGACAGAAAATTGTCTGTACAGGTCCACATCTTCGTAGAGCCCCCATATTACGGTACCTCCCGATATTCGGTATTTTGATGGTTTTAGCGATATTATTTACGAGAATTATTTAAATTTTTGTATTTGAAGTTCGTAATGGATACTACACCCTACGACAGAAAATTGTCTGTCCAGGTCCACGTCTTCGTATATCCTCCATATAACGGTACCTCCCGATATCTGGTATTTTGACGATTTTAACGAATTTATTCACCGAAATTGTATTTGAGGTTCATAATTGATACTACAGCCTATGACAGAAAATTGTCTGTGCAGGTCCACGTTTAATAACCCCCATGGTACCTCCCTATATTCGGTATTTTGATGATTTTAGCTATATTATAACCAGATTTTTTCAAGTTTCGCATTTGAATATTGCAATAGCTTGTGACAAAATTTGGCTATGCAGGTCCACGTCGTCGTATGGACCCTAATATACGACTACGTTCGGTATTTTTAAGATTTTAACAGAATTTTTAACGGATTTTTTTGTTTTTGAGAATTACCAAATTCGTTCCAAATGGTGGAGGGTATTCAAAGTTCGGCCCGGCCGAACTTCCAGTTTTTTTTTTTACTTTTTTTCTTTCCTCTCTTTAGATTTCGTCACTTAACCTCTTTTGCCTTTCACCTCCCCATGTGGGCGTCTCACAATGTAATTTACAACATCATCAAGAAATGTTGGTACAAAAAGTCCTCACCAAAGCCCTGCAAATTATAATACTTTTAGGGATCTCAGTTGGCAACACATTGCTTCATTCTCCTCTCACTCATGTGGCCCCTCTCTCTTGATTCCGCCTCACCTAAGAACAATGCAAGGAGAATATCATATTCTCATATGAATATTCCCAGAATATGGTGATTGTTGTTGATGTTCGCCGTTGGCCAGCCAAGTCGACCACCATCATACGACACACACACCAACACAACATGACAATGATGGAGAACCCTGACAATGTCCTTCTGTTGCCTGGGCGATAGTGTGGCCATGTGTTTGTGTGTTTGTGTGTGTATGAATGCTCCATGTTTCATGGTTGTTTGCACATTTGGTCCTGTGGTCGGAGTGATAGTTGAGTGGTGGTCGGTCAACTCTCTCACTCAACTCAACTTTGGTGTTAGTGGTCCTGGCCACATAGCAATGTTCATTTTTGGTGTTTTATTGTAGACAGACCAACAAATTGCTCGTCATTGTTGCAGGTTTATATACTATATTTGGTGTGGGGCTAAGGCCTTGGAGGGGGAAGAGGCCGAGAGAGAGAGAGAGTGGCTGGAGCCGGGGGGAAATGCTCGGTGGAAGGAAATAATCTCATAGAGAACATATCATAGTTTCTTTTGTTGCCTTTTTGAGGGGAAGGAGATGGAGAAGGGAGGACCGGTGGCCTATTATGGTCAGCGGTAGTAAACCAAGCATGAATTAAAATAACAACACACACACACTCACACAGATATACACACATACATACGAGAAAATAACACAACCGAAAAGATTCCTGTGTTTCTGTTTATTTACAACTGACTTGGAATGTTTTGTGTCCTTTGTGCCGTTCGGTGTCGTTGTAAACTAAATAGACTGTAAATGTTGTGTGTTGAGGGGAAGGGGAAAGGGGAGGGCGGTGAGGCATTTTTATGCGAAGGCTTTATTTTGTTCATAAATTTGGCGATAATTTAAGAATTAAAGCCCAGATGGGATAAGGTTATTAATTTTACAAAATCCGCGAAATTGAGGCTTCGAATAAAGTAAGAGGCTGAGAATTTTTTTTTTTTTTTTTTTTTTTTTTTTGAAGTCCCTTAGATTTCCTAGACCGAAAATATATTTCTGGATTTTGTTGGTATCAAATATTCAAGTATCCTGTGGAAAGAATAATTCTGGTCTTAGAAGAACTGCTGGCATTTTTGAAATTTGTACTCTCTAGGGTTCTAAATAAAGCAGATTTCCAAAATACCTCCAAGGTCAAAGTGTCATTTCAGCTTATGTGTAAGAAATTCCCTTCCAGAGCACCTCTCTCTCGGTAGTTCTTTAAGTTCTCCTAAGGAAGATCTACAGATCTTCTACTTTTTCATTACATTTGGCCAAAATGACTACAGGTCTTAAGAAAATTTTCTAATTTAATTTTTTTCCATTCGAATTTTAACTAGGATCAAATGTAAGCTATTCCATATCATGAAAAGGATCCTACTACCATCAATTGGGTGGATTTTAAGTTTTAACTTTTCTCCGCCTTGTTCCCCTTATACACCAATTTTCATTGATTTCTACTTACATCTTATATCCAAATGCACGGGATTGCTTTCACCATCGCCCTCGCGATTATTACCCACACACGTATAGATGCCACTGCGTGCCCGGCTGACATTCTGCAACACCAGACTCTGGTTGGCCACGATAATGCCTTCCGTGATATTGTTTTCCAATATGTTGCCCTGTTTTGGTGATAAAAGAAATTAAGGATTTAAATATGAAATTTACAAAGAATACAAAATAAATAATTAATTATTTTTAAATATTAAAATACACTACATTTTTAGAAGGATCTAAAGGACTATCAAGGCTATAAACGTGGATTTTTTAAAGAATTTTTCTAAAGGACAATCAAGGCTATAAGCGTGGATTTTTTAAAGAAATTTTCTGAAGGACAATCAAGGCCATGGACATCGATTTTTGAAGAATTTTTCTGAAGGACAATCATGGCTATAAACGTGGATTTTTTAAAGAATTTTTCTGAAGGACAATCAAGGCTATAAACGTGGATTTTTTAAAGAATTTTTCTGAAGGACAATCAAGGCTATAAACGTGGATTTTTCAAAGAATTTTTCTGAAGGACAATCAAGGCTATAAACGTGGATTTTTTAAAGAATTTTTCTGAAGGACAATCAAGGCTATAAACGTGGATTTTTTAAAGAAATTTTCTGAAGGATAATCGAGCCTATAAACGAGGATTTTTTAAGAATTTTTCTGAAGGACAATCAAGGCTATAAACGTGGATTTTTTAAAGAATTTTTCTGAAGGACAATCAAGGCTATAAACGTGGATTTTATAAAGAATTTTTCTGAAGGACAATCAAGGCTATAAACGTGGATTTTTTAAAGAATTTTTCTGAAGGACAATCAAGGCTATAAACGTGGATTTTTTAAAGAATTTTTCTGAAGGACAATCAAGGCTATAAACGTGGATTTTTTAAAGAATTTTTCTGAAGGACAATCAAGGCTATAAACGAGGATTTTTTTAAAGAATTTTTCTGAAGGACAATCAAGGCTATAAACGTGGATTTTTTAAAGAATTTTTCTGAAGGACAATCAAGGCTATAAACGTGGATTTTTTAAAGAATTTTTCTGAAGGACAATCAAGGCTATAAACGTGGATTTTTTAAAGAATTTTTCTGAAGGACAATCAAGGCTATAAACGTGGATTTTTTAAAGAATTTTTCTGAAGGACAATCAAGGCTATAAACGTGGATTTTTTAAAGAATTTTTCTGAAGGACAATCAAGGCTATAAACGTGGATTTTTTAAAGAATTTTTCTGAAGGACAATCAAGGCTATAAACGTAGATTTTTTAAAGAATTTTTCTGAAGGACAATCAAGGCTATAAACGTGGATTTTTTAAAGAATTTTTCGGAAGGACAATCAAGGCTATAAACGTGGATTTTTTTAAAGAACTTTTCTGAAGGACAATCAAGCCTATAAACGTGGATTTTTTAAGGAATATTTCTGAAGGACAATCAAGGCTATAAACGTGGATTTTTTAAAGAATTTTTCTAAAGGACCATGAAGGCTATAAACGTGGATTTTTTAAAGAATTTTTCTGAAGGACAACCAAGGCTATAAACGTGGATTTTTTTAAGAATTTTTCTGAAGGACAATCAAGGCTATAAACGTGGATTTTTTAAAGAATTTTTCTGAAGGACAATCAAGGCTATAAACGTGGATTTTTTAAAGAATTTTTTCGAAGGACAATCAAGGCTATAAACGTGGATTTTTTAAAGAATTTTTTCGAAGGACCATCAAGGCTAGATACGCGGATTTTTTTTAAAGAATTTTCTGAAGGACCATGAAGGCTATAAACGTGGATTTTTTAAAGAATTTTTTCTGAAGGACAATGAAGGCTATAAACGTGGATTTTTTAAAGAATTTTTCTGAAGGACAATCAAGGCTATAAACGTGGATTTTTTAAAGAATTTTTCTGAAGGACAATCAAGGCTATAAACGTGGATTTTTTAAAGAATTTTTTCGAAGGACAATCAAGGCTATAAACGTGGATTTTTTAACGAATTTTTCTGAAGGACAAACAAGGCTATAAACGGGGATGTTTTTCAAGAATTTTTCTGAAGGACAAACAAGGCTATAAACGGGGATGTTTTTCAAGAATTGTTCTGGAGGACAATCAAGGCTATAAACGTGGATTTTTTAAAGAAATTTTCTGAAAGACAATCAAGGCTATAAACGTGGATTTTTTAAAGAATTTTTCTGAAGGACAATTAAGGCTATAAACGTGGATTTTTTAAAGAATTTTTCTGAAGGACATTCAAGGCTATAAACGTGGATTTTTTAAAGAATTTTTCTGAAGGACAATCAAGGCTACAAACGTGGATTTTTTAAAGAATTTTTCTGAAGGACATTGAAGGCTATAAATGTGAATTTTTTAAAGAATTTTTCTGAAGGACCATGAAGTCTATAAATGTGGATTTTTAAAAGATTTTTTCTAAAGGACATTCATGGCCATAAACGTGGATTTTTTAAACAATTTTTCTGAAGGATAATCGAGCCTATAAACAAGGAATTTTTTTAAGATCTTTTCCAAAGGACATTGAATACTATAAACGTGGATTTTTTAAACAATTTTTCTGAAGGATAATCGAGCCTATAAACGAGGAATTTTTTTAAGATCTTTTCCAAAGGACATTGAAGGCTATAAACGTGGATTTTTTAAGAATTTTTCTGAAGGACAATCAAGGCTATTAACGTGGATTTTTTTAAGAATTTTTCTGAAGGACAATCAAGGCTATAAACGGGGATTTTTTAAGGAATATTTCTGAAGGAACAACAAAACCATAAACAAGATTTTTTAAGAATTTTTCTGAAGGCCTATCAAGGCTATAAACTTGGATTTTTTTTAAAAAATTTTCTAAAGGACATTCAAGGCTATAAACGTGAAATTTTTAAAGAATTTTCTGAAGGACAATCAAGGTCACGAACATGGATTTTTTAAAGAATTTTTTTGAAGGACAATCAAGGCTAAAAACGTCGATTTTTTAAAGAAGGACTATCAAGGCAACAATTGGGAATTTTTAAATACTTTTTTTATAGAAACTATCAAAAAATTTTTCAAGACATCCGCAGCTTATGATTTTAAGTTGTGAAAGGTCCTAAATTTTGTAAAAATTCCAATGCAGTTTTTCTTACAGGACTTCTTTTTAAATCATCCTTTTCATTAACTTCCTCATAAACCCACTTTTCTATCTCACCCTCCAATTCAAACTTCAATTAGTATCCTTTTATCCCTCTTTATTGATATTTATACGAAAATAAAATGCATGCTTAATCCCTGTGTAAATCCTTATTTAAATTCTCTCAAAAATTTCCTTTCAAATTAATTGCAAATTTGTGGAGAGAAAAAAAAAAAACACAAGGACAACGACAACGACTCTGTCAACATTTTAGATGTTTGACTATTTACACTTCATTTTGATGCTGCTGTTGCTCTAATCGATGGCTTAAATTTTAATTATGTCATAATTCTTTGGATTCATTTCATTTTTGTGGAGTCCTTTGAATGGCAAAACCAACACATAGACAAAGCAGTGGGAGATTGAAAGGATACACACATACAAAGTCAAAACAGACATGTAATCAATCTTTCTAGGAAATGGATAAAACGAGCAGTTTCTAACAGTTTCTGAATAAATTTTTTAAAGAATAATGAATTGAATGTGAATTTCCTTCAATGTTATTTTCAAAACAAATTAATAAAAAAGGATATTTTTATCATGGATCAATAAAACGAATTTTTTTTAAATATTTTTCAAAAGACTAACAAACGTGATTTTTTAAAAAATATATGTTTTCTGAAGGATCATCAGTGCCATAAACGTGGATTTTTTAAATAATTTTTCTGAAGGATCATCAGTGCCATAAACGTGGATTTTTTAAATAATTTTTCTGAAGGATCATCAGTGCCATAAACGTGGATTTTTTAAATAATTTTTCTGAAGGATCATCAGTGCCATAAACGTGGATTTTTTAAATAATTTTTCTGAAGGATCATCAGTGCCATAAACGTGGATTTTTTAAATAATTTTTCTGAAGGATCATCAGTGCCATAAACGTGGATTTTTTAAATAATTTTTCTGAAGGATCATCAGTGCCATAAACGTGGATTTTTTAAATAATTTTTCTGAAGGATCATCAGTGCCATAAACGTGGATTTTTTAAATAATTTTTCTGAAGGATCATCAGTGCCATAAACGTGGATTTTTTAAATAATTTTTCTGAAGGATCATCAGTGCCATAAACGTGGATTTTTTAAATAATTTTTCTGAAGGATCATCAGTGCCATAAACGTGGATTTTTTAAATAATTTTTCTGAAGGATCATCAGTGCCATAAACGTGGATTTTTTAAATAATTTTTCTGAAGGATCATCAGTGCCATAAACGTGGATTTTTTTTGAAGAATTTTTTGCAAGGATCATCAGTGCCATAAACGTGGGTTTTTTTTGAAGAATTTTTTGCAAGGATAATCAGGGCTATAAAGGTGGATTTTTTTAAAGAATTTTTTGCAAGGATAATCAGGGCTATAAACGTGGATTTATTAAAGAAAGAGGCTATAAACTTTATTTTGGAAAATTTTTCTCAGGGACTCTTCGGCCAACAACCGTGATTTTTTTCAAGGACCTTTTGGTTCCAAATTTTCGATTTTTAAAAATATTTTTTTCAATCACCTTTAAGCCACCGAAGGGGGGAATTTTCCAACGCATATTTTTTAACTCTTCTTCTCTTGGGAATACTGGCGTATACTTGGTGTCAATACTCATACGCCCCCATATACCATTGTATATTTTATTTTCGAAATTAGTTTTAAGGACACTCAAAAGGAAACCAAATTAGTTTTTTTTAAGGATGCTGTTTATTTTTTCAAAGATTCTTGGGCTGGAAAAGGTATATTTTGGAAACAATTTCTCAAGGACTCTTCGGCCAACAGCCATGATTTTTTTTTCAATGACCCTTAGGTTCCCAATTTTGTATTTTTAAAAAAAATTTTCCTATGACCTTTAAGTCACCGAAGTTGGATTTTTCCAACGCATATTTTTATTAACTCTTCTGCTCTTGGAAATGCTAGCGTATACTTGGTGTCAGTACACATACGCCCCCTTGTCCCATTGGATTTTTTTTTAATTAGTTTTAGGGACTCGGAAAAGGACACCAAATTTATTTTTTTTTAAGGATGCTTTTTATTTTTTCAAAGATACTTGGGTTAGAAAAGGTAGATTTTGGAAAAAAATTTTCAACGACTCTTTGACCAACAGTCATTGTTGGTTTTTAAGAATATTTTTCCAATGACCTTTAAGCCACCGAAGGTGTATTTTTCCAACGCACATTTTTGTTCACTCTTACCACTCATACCACCCCATGTCCCACGCCCCATGGCTTTAATTGAAATTGATTTATGTTATCAACATGTTTTCCGCATTTTCGTCGCCTTTTTCCAAAAAACATTTCCTTTTCTGTAGTGGATGTTTTAAAAAATTTTTTTGAAAAATTCTTAGGCCAGCCAATAACCGTGAATTTTTTGAAGAAAATTTTTTCAAGCAACTTTATGTCACAAAATTCTGCTTCGAAGAATATTTTTTCAACGACCTTTTGGCCACCAAACGTGGATTTTTTCAACGAATATTTTCCTTTACCCTTCTTCTCTTTGGTATGCTAGCGTATACTTGGTGTCAGTAGTCATACGCCCCCATGTCCCATTGAATCAACAACGTATGGCTTAAATTGAAATTGATTTATGTTATCATCACGTTTTTTTTTCGAAATTTCTTCCCCTTTTTCATAAGCGTTTGATGCATGTGATATCAGTTATGAAAAAAAGAACATTTTCTTTACAACGCTGCGTAATGCCCTTGGCGGTTATTAAAATGAATATTTTTCATGAGAACAAAAAAAAAAAAACAACCGAAAATCATTTTTCCAATTTTTTCGTTACTCTGCAAAAACACATTATGGCCATTAGCCATAATTTTGACATATGAAAGAGATTTTGATGGATATTTTGACAAGTATGAGTGCATGTGTGTGTGGTGTGTGAAAGGGTGGCAGAGCAAATTACAAAAATTTGCGTTATTAAGGATGCCATGAGAATAAAAATTGGAAGGAAATCTGTGATGAGTTGAAATATGGATGTAGACGGAAGAGATAGGAAGCTATGGAAGAGAATTTTTTATAAGGATCATCAAGAGATTATTTTCGGGTACTATCAGGTCTTTGAAAGTGGATTTTTTAAGATTTTTTCTGAAGGAACATCAATGTCATAAACGTAGAATTTTTAAAAAATTTTTCTGAAGAATAATCGAGCCTACAAACGTGGATTTTTTAAAGAATTTTTCTGAAGGATCATTAAGGCTACAAATGATGAATTTTTAAAGAATTTTTCTGAAGGACCATTGAGACTACAAATGATGAATTTTTAAAGAATTTTTCTAAGGGACCTCCAATTTTTAAATTTTTTTTACAAGGACTTCTAAGGCTACCAACGTGGCTTTTTAAAAACGTGGATTTTTAAAGAATTTATCTGAAAGACCATCAAGGCTATAAACGTGGATTTTTTAAAGAATTTATCTGAAAGACCATCAAGGCTATAAACATGTATTTTTGAAAGAATTTTCCTGAAGGACATTCAAGGCTATAAACGTGGATTTTTTAAAGAATTTTCTGAAGGACCATGAAGGCTATAAACGTGGATTTTTTAAAGAATTTTTCTGAAGGACATTCAAGGCTATTAACGTGGATTTTTTATAGAATTTTTCTGAAGGACATTCAAGGCTATAAACGTGGATTTTTTAAAGAATTTTTCTGAAGGATATTCAAGGCTATAAACGTGGATTTTTTTTAAAGATTTTTTCTGAAGGATATTCAAGGATATAAACGTGGTTTTTTTAAAGAATTTTTCTAAAGAACATTCAAGGCTATTAACGTAGGTTTTTAAGGAATTTTCCTGAAGGACATTCAAGGCTATAAACGTGGATTTTTTAAATATTTTTTTACAAGGGCTTCTATGGCTATAAACGTGAATTTTTTTAAGGATTTTTCTGAAGGACCATCAAGGCTATAAACGTGAATTGTTTAAAGAATTTTTCTGAAGGTCCATCAAGGCTATAAACGTGGATTTTTTTAAAGAATTTTTCTGTAAGGACATCAAAGCCATAAACGTGGATTTGTTACAGAATTTTTCTGAAAGACCGGTAAGGGTGTAAACCTGAATTTTTTATAGATTTTTTCTGAAGGACATTCAAAGCTATATACCTGGATTTTTTAACGAATTTTTCTAAAGGACATTCAAGGCTATAAACGTGGATTTTTTAAATAATTTTTCTGAAGGATCATCAGTGCCATAAACGTGGATTTTTTAAATAATTTTTCTGAAGGACATTCAAGGCTATAAACGTGGATTTTTTAAAGAATTTTTCTGAAGGATATTCAAGGCTATAAATGTGGATTTTTTAAAGAATTTTTCTGAAGGACATTCAAGGCTATTAACGTGGATTTTTTATAGAATTTTTCTGAAGGACATTCAAGGCTATAAACGCGGATTTTTTAAAGAATTTTTCTGAAGGATATTCAAGGCTATAAACGTGGATTTTTTTAAAGATTTTTTCTGAAGGATATTCAAGGCTATAAACGTGGATTTTTTAAAGAATTTTTCTAAAGAACATTCAAGGCTATTAACGTAGGTTTTTAAGGAATTTTCCTGAAGGACATTCAAGGCTATAAACGCGGATTTTTTAAAGAATTTTTCTAAAGAACATTCAAGGCTATTAACGTAGGTTTTTAAGGAATTTTCCTGAAGGACATTCAAGGCTATAAACGTGGATTTTTTAAAGAATTTTTCTAAAGAACATTCAAGGCTATTAACGTAGGTTTTTAAGGAATTTTCCTGAAGGACATTCAAGGCTATAAACGTGGATTTTTTAAAGAATTTTTCTAAAGAACATTCAAGGCTATTAACGTAGGTTTTTAAGGAATTTTCCTGAAGGACATTCAAGGCTATAAACGTGGATTTTTTCAAGAATTTTTCTGAAGGACATTCTAGGCTTTAAACGTGGATTTTTTAAAATTATTTTTCTGAAGGACATTCAAGGCTTTAAACGTGAATTTTTTAAAGAATTTTTCTGAAGGACATTCAAGGCTTTAAACGTGGATTTTTTAAAGAATTTTTCTGAAGGACAATCAGAGCCATCACGTGGAAAAAGGAGTTTTTTTCGAGGACCATCAAAGCTAAATACATGGCATTTTAAAATTTTTTTCTGAAGGGCCATCTAGGCTAGAAATGTGGATTTTTTTAAGAGTTTTTTGAAGACCTTCAACGCTATAGACGTGGAGTTTTTAAATAATTTTCCTGAAGGACCATCAGTGCCATAAACGTGGATTTTTTAAATTATTTTTCTGAAGGACCATCAGTACCATAAACGTGGATTTTTTAAATATTTTTTTACAAGGAATTCTATGGCAACAAACTTGGGTTTTTAAAGAATTTCTCAGCAAATATTTTAGAAGGACCTTTAAGGCTATAAACCTGGATTTTTTAAAGATTTCTCAGCAAATATTTTTAAAGGACTTTCAAGGCTATAAAGCTGGATTTTTAAGGGATTTCTTAACAAATATTTTTGATGGACATTCAAGGCTATAAACCTGGATTTTTAAGGATTTCTTAAAAAATATTTTTAAAGGTCCTACAAGGCTATAAACCTGGATTTTTAAAGTATTTTTGCTGAAGAACCACCAACTCTATAAGTTGGGATTTTCAAAGGATTTTTTAAGAATTATTTCTGAAGGATCTTCAAGGCTATAAACCTGGATTTTTAAAGGATTTCTTAAAAAAATGTTTTTGAAGGACCCTCAAGTCTACAAATGTTGTTTTTTAAGGGATTTCTCTTTCCTCCCTCTTAAATTAACTTACATTATGCCGCCAACTGACTTTGTTGACCCATGGATTCGATTTGATGTTGCATTCAAAGAAGACATCAATACCCTCTCGCAGCGTTGAGTTCATGGAGTTTGTGCCCAGTTCCAGGCTGACTACGGGGATATCTGAAACAGAGAATAGAAATATTATTTATTGAAAGAAAAAGAAATATTTTTTATTCGAAATTAGCAGAAACTTCAGAAAGAGGTCCTTAAAATTAAGAAAATTTAAAAAAAAATATTCTTTTTCTTCTGAATCTTTAAAATTTGATTTTTTTTTTTTTTTTTTTTTTTTTTTTTTTTTTTTTGGAAAACTGTCTTTCAATGACGACTTTATGTCATTATCGGCCTTTCAAATCTTAATCCATTACAAAAATAAGAATTTATAATTAAATGATTTTGACCCTAATCAATCAGACCCGTGGATGGCCATTTTAGGGAAGAGTTTCAAAGTTTTTTTCAAAACATCAAACGCAACAAATGCCTTACTCATTAGAAAGCCAACGTGGCATTGCTTTACCCCAAACTTTTCTAAAGAATTTTACCCTTAACTCCCTCCAAAAAAATTCAACATTTTTTTTTTTCAGAAAAAAAAAAACTTTATAAACGTTTAACAAAAGAGTGAACTCCCTTCCTCCTCCTTCCCTTATTTTCTTTTCCCTTCCCTGAAAAACAAAAAAAAAAAAAAAAGCAAAGTAAGCAACAGCATGCCAGTAGCCACTTATCATAATTTACACTTTGATGTTTTATTTATTTAGTGTAACGATGAAGTGGAGTTCCTTTTTGCCCCTGATGCATTACCCCCCTTCACCCACTCGCCCCACCCCCACTGCCACTTTATTTATTTAGCATTTCGTTTTTCAATGGTTTGCCCAAGAAAAACAAACTTTGTTAAGCTTTATGAAAAACCCAAAGGTAGTCCCAAAGAATTGATAAAGGATATATCATCCCAACTTGCAGGATACTCTTGAAAAGTGAAAAAAGAAAAACAACAACAAAAGGTTTTTATAATTTTTGACAATGAGAAGAATGAAAGTTTTTTTTTTTCTGCGAAGGCAACAATTTGCAAGTCTAATTTCTGTTGAAGAACGAAAGGTAAATACTTTCAAAGTGGCAGGTAATTGAGTGAAACTTATCGGCGAAAGTAATTTAGGAAGAATTTAAAGTGGACGGATAAAAGGAAAAACAATACAAAAAAAAAAAAAAAAAAAAAAAAAACAACAACAACATAACAAGGATAATAAGCTTAAAACTTCAGGCAATGATTTTAAATAATTTGAAAGTGGATTTAAAAAAAATATTTTTCAAAGAAAACACTAAAGTAGTAAAAAAAATATTTTTATTTTTTAAGAATTATTTTCAAAGAGACCACAAGCAGTGATTCAAAAAAAATATATATTTTCCAAAAAAAAAAAAAAAAAAAAAAAAAAAAACACAAACGTGCATTTTTTATAAAAAATATATTTTTTTAAGAAAAACAAAAGTGGATTTTTGAAAAAAAAATATTTTTGAAAGAAAACTTTAAAATGTTTTTTTTTTAAACAATATTTCTTTTAAAAATATTTTTTCCAAGAAAACACAAAATTGGATTACAAAAAAAAAAAAAACTTTTTCCAAAAGACCAAAAAAACGGATTTAAAAAAAGAAAATTTTTTTCAAGGACAACACAAACGTGGATTTTTAAAAATATATTTTTTCAAAGAAAACACAAACGTGAATATTTAAAAAAATATATTTTCAATAAAAACACAAACGTGGATTTTTTAAAAAAATATTTTTCAAAGAAAACACAAACGTGGATATTTAAAAAATTTTTTTTTTCAAAGAAAACACAAACGTGAATATTTAAAAAAAAATATTTTTCAATGAAAATTTAAACGTGGATTTTTTTAAAAAAATATTTTTTCCAAAAAAACACAAAAGTGAATATTTAAAAAAAATATTTTTCAAAGAAAACACAAACGTGGATTTTTTGAAATAATATTTTTTCAAAGAAAACACAAACGTGGATTTTTAAAAAAGATATATTATTCCAAGAAAACACAAACGTTAATTTTTTTTTTAAAAATATTTTTCACAGAAAACACAAACGTGAATATTTAAAAAAAAATATTTTTCAATGAAAATTTAAACGTGGATTTTTTAAAAAAATATTTTTCAAAGAAAACACAAACGTGAATATTTAAAAAAATATTTTTCATAGAAAACACAAACGTGAATATTTAAAAAAACAATATTTTTCAAATAAAACACAAATGTGGATTTTTTTAAAAAGTATTTTTTAAAGAAGCACAGACGTGGATTTTTTAAAGAAAACACAAACGTGAATATTTAACAAAAATATTTTTCAAAGAAAACGCAAACGTGGATTTTTTAAAAAAAAATATATTTTTCAAAGAAAACACAAACGTGGATTTTTTAAAAAAATATTTTTCAAAGAAAACACAAACGTGGATTTTTTAAAAAAAAATTTTCAAAGAAAACACAAACGTGGATTTTTTAAAAAAAAATTTTCAAAGAAAATACAAACGTAGATTTTAAAAAAAATATTTTTCAAAGAAAACACAAACGTGGATTTTTTAAAACCATATTTTTTAAAGAAAACACAAACGTGGATTTTTTAAAAAAATATTTTTCAAAGAAAACACAAACGTAGATTTAAAAAAAAAAAATATTTTTAAAGAAAACACAAATGTGGATTTTTAAAAAAAATATTTTTCAAAGAAAACACAAACGTGGATTTTTTGAAATAATATTTTTTCAAAGAAAACACAAACGTGGATTTTTAAAAAAGATATATTATTCCAAGAAAACACAAACGTTAATTTTTTTTTTAAAAATATTTTTCACAGAAAACACAAACGTGGATTTAAAAAAAAAAATATATTTTTCAAAGAAAACACAAACGTGGATTTTTAAAAAAAATATATTTTTCAATGAAAACACAAACGTGAATATTAAAAAAAAATTTTCAATGAAAACACAAACAGGGATTCTGGAAAAAAAAATATTTTCCAAAGAAAACACAAACGTGGATTTTTTAAAAAAATATTTTTCAAAGAAAACACAAACGTGAATATTTCAAAAAAAATATTTTTCAAAGAAAACACAAACGTGGATTTTTTTAAAAAATTTTTTTAGAAGAAAACACAAACGTTGATTTTTTAAAAATATATTTTTCAAAGAAAATACAAATGTGGATTTAAAAAAAAATATTTTTCAAAGAAAACACACACAAGAATATTTTAAAAAAATATTTTTTCAAAGAAAACACAAACCCGGATTTTTTAAAAAAATATTTTTCAAAGAAAACACAAACCTGGATATTTAAAAAAATATATTTTTCAAAGGAAACACAAACGTGGATTTTTTAAAAAAAAATATTTTTTTCAAAGAAAACACAAAAGTGGATTTTTTAAAAAAATATTTTTCAAAGAAAACACAAACGTGGATTTTTTAAAAAAATGTTTTTCAAAGAAAACACAAACGTGGATTTTTCAAAAAATATTTTTCAAAGAAAACACAAACGTGAATATTAAAAAAAAATATTTTTCAAAGATAACACAAACGTGGATTTTTTTAAAAAAATATTTTCCAAAGAAAACACAAACGTGGATTTTTTAAAAAAATATTTTTCAAAGAAAACAAAAACGTGGATTTAAAAAAAAAAATTTCCAAGAAAACGCAAACGTAAATATTTAAAAAAAAAAATTCAAAGGAAACACAAACGTGGATTTTTTTAAAAAAATATTTTTCAAAGAAAACACAAACGTGGACTTTTTAAAAAAATATTTTTCAAAGAAAACACAAACGTGGATTTTTAAAAAAAAAATATTTTTTCAAAGAAAACACAAACGTGGATTTTTTAAAAAATATTTTTCCAAGAAAACACAAACGTGGATTTTTTAAAAAAATATTTTTCAAAGAAAACACAAACTTGGATTTTTTAAAAAATATAATTCAAAGAAAACACAAACGTAAATATTTAAAAAAATATATACTTTTCAAAGAAAATACAAACGTGGATTTTTTAAAAAAAAATATTTTTCAATGAAAACACAAACGTGAATATTAAAAAAAATATTTTTCAAAGATAACACAAACGTGGATTTTTTTAAAAAAATATTTTCCAAAGAAAACACAAACGTGGATTTTTTAAAAAAATATTTTTCAAAGAAAACAAAAACTTGGATTTTTAAAAAAAAATTTCCAAGAAAACGCAAACGTAAATATTTAAAAAAAAAAATTCAAAGGAAACACAAACGTGGATTTTTTACAAAGATATTTTGCAAAGAAAACACAAACGTGGATTTAAAAAATAAATATTTTTCAAAGAATTCATTTTTTAAAAAAATAATTTCCATAGAAAACATTTTTAAAAAAATATTTTTCAAAGTAAACATTTAAAAAAAATATCTTTTTCAAAGAAAACATCAATCATGGATTAAAAAAAATTTCCAAGAAAACACAAACAATTTTAGAAAATATTTTTTATATATTTTTAACATCCAACTATCATCGATTTTTGCCATAGAATGGAGAATTCTGAAACATTGCCCATTCAAAAGATAGCTGTTCCAGGTCTCCTTTTGAGCAGAACTTTCGGAGAAAAAATTCTAAATGTAAGCTCTTATTTATTCACTGGCCATCCATGCGTATGAATAACGTCACAACGTATACGCCCCACCTGCTCCTTTTATTTTGCAAATATCTTTTTAATATTCTCGTATTTCTTTGCCATTCCTTCTCCTCCCACATCAAAAGTCTAAGGGCATGACGAAAAAAACATCCTTAAGATATATATGTTTGGAATTAAAACAACCTATCTAATTAGAACATTACTTTCACCAAAGAAGAATACGAAGCACCGGAAAAAAATAAACACAATAAATTATGTATGCCATGGAAGTTGAAGGTGGATAGAGGTTGGGGTAAGGTAGGATGTCGATGCATACGTCTATTGTCCCACATATGCTACACATATTAACAATTTATGCTCTTTGCCATATTGTGCAAAGCCAATCAACAACAGACACACGGCTCAGGGATCAAGGACCAAGGATGCCGTAACAAAGGACGCTGATATCTTGCTCCTCCCGCATCGTGCACTTCACTCATGCCTGCCT